ATATTTTGTGATTACTGAAATGATTAGAGCATGAAGGTACACTGAAAACTGTTTTCTCCGTAAACTTCTGTCGACTCGATAACCATTAAAATATTGTAGTATTGGACAGTTGTTTTGTTTTAATTCGGTATAATTGACCAGTGTGCACTCATAAAATATAAACAAATTGTGGGATTCAAGACCAATCATAATTCTATCCTGAACATTAATGTGAGGAAACACAAGTCATTAAGAATATTTCTCATACAAGTTCATGAGTCAGATGAATAAAACCGAAATTTCAGAATAAAAATTGCTAACTGAACTAATGCAACAATTTACACAGTCGCCCCTGTTTAAGATTCTTATATTCAGCGAATATATGATTTTATATAACAAACAAAAACATTATGAAATGAAAAATATGAATCTTTAGCTCATTGACGATCTTAATTTTTATCCAGCAGTAGTAACTTACCGTCTTTTAAATAAGTCACTTAACAAAAATGTTACATTTAACATCTTAATAGATTTATTCAGTTGATCATTTGTTCTATCATTTGAAATGTTTAAATGAGATTCAAAGACGAGTTCTGTCAGTAATTTGTTATTTCAATTATCCTAATCATTTTATTTATTTACTGATCCATTGGATTGTCATAACATTATTATAATTTAACATCTAAAAACCTTTTGAAGTAATCCACAAAAAGTTTTCTATTCTAAGTTCAGGAAATCAGTCATATATCTGTTACTTTCAAAACACTACCAATACATGATTTCTTTTAGATTACAATCACTAACTTTCAATTTTAAGTTATCAATATGAAACTATTTTAATCTACACTCTTTCTGAAGATTGCTCAATCTTAAGCTATACAAAAAGAAAGATAAGTCTATTTATTAAAATCTCAATGAAAGTGAAGTTAAACCTTTTTACATCTACCAAACAATCAATATAAGAAACGAACCAAAAAAAGATGTTAGCAAACAGATAAGTTAGATTATCATAACAACTTACTACACTTCAGAATTAATTACTTTCTAAAGAAATAAATAATTAATAAAAGTATAGAATAATTTCTTTATTAGGCTAAAAACATTATTCATTGAGGAGTCGCGTAATAGGACGAAACAGTGTCCAATGCTTCTAGGTTTTTCATGGTGGTCTAGCTTCAATTGACTCATGATTTCAACTGTTGAAATGAAATGAAATTATTCCTTTTTTTTAAAATTAAAAATAGAATTTTCAAAATCATGTTTTGTGGCCTGTTATCAAATGTTTGTTTGTTTGTTGTTGTTGTCAGGAACAATCAAAAATGGTTATTTTTCATTGGTATAGTATTCAAATAGAAATGAATTACTTATCACAGATTTTTCTATTGAACTAAATAATAATTAGATTTTACTATTCAATAAGAACTTAAAGTAGATTTTTCATGTTATTTAAATGTAACATAAAAGTAAATAGGGATTGTTAAATGAATCAAGAAAATACTTTTATAAACAAGAAAATCCATTAAATGCTACATTTAAATTAACTTCTTAAAATATAGAGAGATTTTATAATTGAAATGTTGAACATAATTGTTGAGATTTTTGACTGAGGCTTGACTACAGTAATCATCATCTCAATTCTCAAAATATTATGCATAAAGATAATAGATTACCATCATTTAATAGATTTCAATTTAAGGATTAAAATGACGGTTAAAGTGACCCAATTTGAACATCGACACTGATGCACAACAATATCCGGTTGATGAATACTGACTAAGATGGAATGGTTACTCTAAATTTCACTAACATCAATTATGTAAATTATAACCAACTTGCAATTTGTGAGAATTCCAATACATCAGTAGAAGGAAGTTATACACTTGCAAAGACTGATCAAATACAAACATGATTACGTACAATGGGAAAATACAAGTTCCAGAGTTTATAACCAAAAGTTATGTAAATTGAATAACTTTTTTTATTCGTTTTTAAAATTTGTCAATAATATGTATTAAATTCTAATCCCTAGAGAATACAACTATGGAAAAACGGACTTTTTAAGCTTTAGAGTAGAGTAATATACACTTTAAACCTTAGCTAATGGTATATTGTAATTTTATGTTGACTATGATACAAGTTTCCATAATACCCAGCTAAAATTATTACTCACATAAAATCATTTCAGTTCTTTTTAGGATTCAATGAACATATTTAAACTAGTTGAACGTTTTCTTATATCTACGGAGTAAGAACTGATTAATTTAAATAGACGAACAGATGTTGTAGATAAATTGCTCCCAAATGCCGTGATACGGCTGAGGTTGGGGAAAGTCCGCTCTCCCTCCCGAAATGCTCTCACATAGCTACGAGTATATAGCCTCTACCTGGGCAGTCCTACACACTGCTTTCTCGTGGCGGCTGTGTTGTTTACGAAATTGGGAGGACGAAAAGCCAGTGTCCGGAGCTTTAATCGGGTCGGTGGATATAGTACATCCCCTTAGGTGTGTTGAAAAACCCTGATTCCAAATCAATGGTGCACATGAGCTCCAGTATCCCGAGGGACAAAGTGGCGTATAAACCAATTGTTAGTTACCGACTATCATGAAACTGCATCGCCCTACGATGCTCCACTGCCTTTTGGATCAGACCTTTAGATCGAAGGTTACGGGTGTGGCACCCTAAGGAAACCACCTACTTTAGTCTGGGCATCATATGTATTTAATAAATACTGTAATACATACAATATCGGAATTTTAGCGTTAAAATCTTTTGCGTATGCTATTACAGTTATACTCAATAAGTGTATTTGGAAAAGAAATTACTTTGGTATATATTCATATAAACCATTCAACACATTGCTTAACATTGAGAATAACCTCTTTACAAGCAATAATCGACAGTATTGTTTGTCGACACTAAATACAGTAACACATAGATCCATGCACAAAAATAATAAAAAGACCGAAAATGTTGGGATAAACTTATTAAAAGCGACATGACTACCAGATTTTTTCAACTATATATATATATAAATACAATATGAATCAAATTAATGATAATTATTTTTGTAGTGCTTGAATATATTTGAAATGTGAAGTACTGTGCCAAAAAAATGACATTTTCAATCCATTGAAAAATGTACAAGTACTTGAACACAAAAAGTGGAAATAAGTAAAAGCCTAAAACAGAAGAAAATGATTTAAGTGTTAAAATGGAATAATTTTGAACTAGTGTATCTCGATTTCCATTGGTAACTAAGCGAGTAACTTTATATGACTGAATAATATTTCAATGGTTTAGAAGTAGGTTCTATTAGAATGATTTATTATCTTTTGAAGTCAGTAATAATGATATTTATGTTTTATTTGTAAAGTATGTGACGTGAGGATCATTTAGTCAAACACAACTGTACATGATTTGTTATTTATCTCTATAGAAATATCAAAAGTCATACAAAATTGAGTACAATCAAAGTAGATCACATAAATACTTTTAATTATTAATATTTAACATTTTATCAGAATAAGGTTTTGTAGAGATCATGGTAATTTAATAGCTGAATTCATGAGTGAATTGAAGCTAAATCACTATGGAAAAACTGGAAGCATTGAACGGCCATTTACTCCTAGTATGAGACTCTTTAGAAGTGCGCATCGACGATCTGTCTTTGTTATGTTATTATGGTAATTAATTTATGCAACTTGAAAAATTCTTAATTGAAAGTAAATAAAAGTTATTTATATTCATTGGTAAAACCTAGATATTTTAAAATTAACTAATGATTAACTAACACTTCAAATCACTGTTTAACATTCAAATAACGAGTATGTTCATGTATGTGATTAGGCAAAAATTAATTGTTGTTTGCATAAAAACTCCATACTTTCCATAGAAACACCAACGGAATTTACTTATCATTTTCCAGAAAATATTAACTAAAGTTTGCATATTAACATTTATTATATTTATTTCACTTTAAATAACTAAGCAATATTAAGAGTAGTACCATTTAGTCTAATGTTTTCAATATTACACAACAACTGGATCATAATGTTGAAGCATGCTGTCATAAGAGACAGAAAGAGTGAAACGATTTTATTCTAGATCATTGGATGTTTAATGATTAATCGATTACACCATTAACTCATAATAATGATAATCAAGAAAAGCACAATCAACTATGAATTATTCTAGTTGATTGCAAAACAGAAGCACACATAAGCATGAAACAGATTAATTGAGATGAACAACAAATAAAACATCATTGATTTATATAAAACTGATCATTATAGGTGTCATTGATAAGGTTGAACTTTATAGTTTGAAATAAATGGAGTACTAGGTAAATTGCTAATAAAAACTGAATGCTGTGGGGGGCGGGATCGTGGATGCGCACTGCTGAGGAGTCCCATGCCAGGACGAAACGGCCTTCCAGTGCTTCCCGGTTTTCCATGCTAGTTTAGCTTCAATTGACTCGTGATTTCAAATACTGAAATTACTAAAATCTCCACAAAACCTCTTCTGAAAATAACAAATATATAAAGCAATTTCTATCCCACTACTTCTTCAGACGCAAAAATTAATACAATGACATGTCATACAAATTTACCTTGACCAAAAATAACTTAAAATTGATATATTTAGACCTATTGTGGTTTTGATTGTACTAAAAATATTTTGCATTGTTTCCTTTGTGTTATTTAAACTTGTGATAATTTAATATCGGTTATTTGTTTACTTTGAAGAAGTGGCTTAGATTAAGTTACAAAATGTCAGATATACAATTTTCGACTCATTAGACTATCACAAAAGTTATATTTATTTTATTCAAATTAACCACTGGCTATATAGTTAACTTCCTCTCTTATTTATTTGATTTGTTTCATCTAAATATAGTAAAAATAAGCATTGGTTGATTATTAATTCTTGTATGGCTTCCCAGTTCTATACAAGCCTAAATTGAATAGAATTTAATTGACTATTGACATTGAAAACAGAATGAAATTAACAGTGATTTATACTTGTTTCTCTGATGAGATAAATGGACTATTATTTTGATCACTAGGATATTCACAGTCATATTGTTCATCAGTTTCTTCATGTAGATGCTGATCAATAACTTCATCATGTACATTACATCCAAGATATTTACTATAGTTATCTTTTAAATATTTTTCTGGTTTACTATTTTTCTCAGTAATTTCATTTGAATCCTTTTGTTCCATTATCTTATTTTTATTATACCAAATACACCAAGCTTTGTTTGGTAGTCCTGAATAATGAGAATAACTGCCTCCTTGTAAAGATTCGATAACTGCTTGTTGAAAACTAGATCCAGATGGAATAATAAAGTGCTCATTAATTGGATCTTCTTCATTAGGTTCATAGAATAGAAACAGTAAACCATTAATGATAGCTTTAAGGCCCATTCCACTGATTTAACCGTGAAAAGAAAAAAGATACAATGGAAGACAAAAGAATCATAATAAAAGTTTTATATCATTCATAATTACTAATAACATCAGTACCAATAACTTGAAATGTAAAACAAAGACTTTTCGCTTTTTGTTCAAAATATTTCTGTTTTTATCATGTATTCTTCTATATTGTAAATGATTTACATGTTTATATATGCGGAAAGGCTGGGATAATACAAAAAATACTGAAACTACATTGATTGATAGGTAATCTTTAGTTGAGTTTCTACGCACGTTTGCATTAGCCGAAATGGTATATCTGCATTCATGTTATCCTTGACGTCCAGCCATTGTTAACTGATGTCATAGCCTGAAACATAGTTTCCACGTTAACCTGGCTACAACTGTCCTATTATAGAAATAAAATGTTTGGATACTTAGTGTCGATACAGTAATTAGTGCTATTTTATTTATTCCTTAGTCCTGATAAGACTCTATTAATGGTGAAGACAGAGGAAACTCCAAAAACACCAGAGAATTTTTAGAAGCCTGGCACTCAGGTCAATCAGCAATCAACAAGCATATTGAAATCAATCCAATTTATCAACCAATCAGAAAAATCATGCACAAACATAAGAACAAAAATCAAAACAATGGGAGACACAACCAAAACAAAGAAATAAACAACGACAAATTTAAGGTCAATAAGAACCAATCAACGTCGAGGTGCACAGAACAAGCTTTGGGACACATATGGAGAAATTCAAACACTTCACTTCTATCTGAAGTTTGTGCTGATGATGTCGTTCAGAAGAACGATGAAAGCTCCACGACCAAACCATCCAGCTCAGAGAACAAAACTCCACCAAAAGACTCTATTAATGTCAGTACACTATTGTCATACGTCTGAGGGGTTCAAAGTCGAAGTGTAATTTATTTGACGTTAAGCATTTGAAGCCAGTCACACCATGACACTGGAAGGAAAGAACTTTTGCATCAAAAACAGGTTGAAACCCATTTGAGTGAAAATGATTTGACGAGAATAAAAAGACAGTATAGCGTTTTGCCCAAAACCTGTGTCACAGACGAAAATTGACAGAAGAGTTGGTTCAATCTGGATGAAAATGTGCCCAAAGTGAGGAAAATTAATTCATTGGACTCTTTTTGGAACATTCATTTATAAGATATTAATTTTCATCCAATGAAAATACACGAATAAAATAATTCTGGAAAGGATTGTTGCGTAATATTTAAAATGTGACCTCATAATTATGAAGTTGCGCCACAAAAAAAATAAATCGTCTATATAAATACAAACATGTGTTTACCAACACCTAGTAGTTAATTTGTGTACAAACAAAGCTGTTTAGAACAACTGTAGTAGTTAGTATTCGAAACTTACATATTCCAGTTTTGAAGTAAATTAAGGCAAACAGCTCCACCAATATCATAATCTTCAATATTTGGATGATATATATGACTCATGCAACGAACAACTGGAGTTTCTCCATAATGTTCCAAACGAATTATGATCTTTAAAAAAAAATAATTAAAGAGTACGGAAACAGAAATCATTAGAAAATCTAAGTTATTATTTTGAAACATACGTATTACTTTGTCAATGATTTCACTTATAGATTACGCTGATATATGGAGCGAATAGATGACATATGATGTCGCAAAGTGGCATGGCAAGTCAGATTTAGGCTTAGGTTATCTATAGTGAAAAAGTGAATCATTTTTACAAATTACAGATTCATGTCAAATTCCATTTATTAACTTTTAAATTTACATGAGTTTTACGCTTATTTCACAGTATGATTTCCTACGGAAGCATAATTTTACCTTGTTTAACGCAGTCGTCAATCTCTAAATGTGTCTCTGTAGCAGAACTAAACGCCAAGTCGTAAATCATTCTAAAAAAATAGTGGAATCTAATATGAGCTTTTAATCTATTGTTTAAAATCGTTTTAATGCATTGCTTTTTACCAGTGTCAACATTGTTTTTACTGAAAGAATGTTCGTTATAAGGTAAATGTATCATCAAGTTGTTGAAACTAAACGCTAAATAATTAATATTTTAACTTGATCTCAACTGATTAATTTCCTTCTAATAAGTTCAGGTTCTGACATATAATCATTAAGTAAACACTTTACATTCTAATTTCCTGCATCCAACATGTCTAGTAATTAGATATGAATCTTATACAATAAACGGATACCTTCAAGCATAACGTGGATTTTAACAATAATCCTTTAAATGATTACGAAACTAAAAATATGATTTATTAAGCGAAGTATCTAAATAGATTGATAATGAGAAGTGGATGGTGGTTGGAGGTAGTCAACAGGAATCCCTGCACCCGGGTTTCGTGCTACTTGGCACTCGTCAGCAAGGTGTACCTGTAATCTTGAGGGAACTGGTGCTCCCTGGCCGATTCGATCTCGTGTCACCCAGCTTCACAGTCAGAGACGTTACCACTGAGCTATCCGAGCTGTGACTAACCTCCTGTAGGACTGAGATGTAATCACAATTGATTGATCACTGGGTGGTGATCAATGTCATGCTTGTCCAGTCCTCATTAGTGCAGATCCAATGCTATCGATCATGTTGCAATGTGGCCACCAGTCTAGGTGACTCGACACTACCTCCAACCACCATCCAAATCTCAATACATTGTGCTCGCAGTGTCGAGTCACCTAGACTGGTGGCCACATTGCAGCATGATCGATAGCATTGGATCTGCACTAATAAGGACTAGACAAGCATGACATTGATCACCACCCAGTGATCAATCAATTGTGATAATGAGAAGTGGTTACACTGAACTGATTCATTAGTTAAACTTAAAAAAAAACACAACTATATCAGTTTTATATAATACTAAGCAATCAATTTCCTAGCATATAAAATTCGAATTTCATTTGAGTCTAATCTGTCACTTCCACAATGTAATTTCCATTAAATGAATTGTGAAAATAATGCATTTGAAAATTTGTGTACAGTATACCTTAGGAATAAGATTCAATCAATCAAATTATATGGCATTCCTTAATTGAAAAGTATTACGTTATTTGAACTAGTTAAATGACATTCACATCTTGGAGAAAGATGTACTTTATGTCAATTCTATTGTATCACATGTTCAGTTAAGATTTGAAGTAATATATTTGAACTTCATTTCAATATCAATTATACTATAAAATCATTTTTATTAAAACAAGAATAGTAGAACTTCAGACATGGACAAAAGTATTCATTATATCATAATAAAGCTATCTGATGTATTATTTAAATAACTATCGATTTGTTTAAATTCTTCATCACATTAGTAATAAGTCTGTAAATTAAAAAGAAAACAAATGTGATTTGTTTATGATTCCTCAAACTGTAACGACAATTTATGATTTAATAGATTGATTGAATATAAATATCATACTATCTGAATGTAATTTTTACATGTGAATAGTAGTTGTAGAATCATTTAATGCTAAAATTAACTGAATTTATTTTATTATAATGTGAAATTCATTGAGAATATCACAAGAGACTAGGTCAAACAGAATCTAATCTTACAGTATAAACTATCTCGTAAGATAATTAGTTTAGAATTTTATGATTCGGATTTCGGATTTCAGTCAAATTATCCTATAACGAAATTCTCATTTAATTCACACACAAGATTTTCTCAGATGGGTTTTGTGGAAATTGTAGTAATTTCTATGGTTAAGATCATGAGTCAATTGGAACTAGACCACCATGGAAAACTTCGAAGCACTGGACGGACGTTTCGACCTATTGTGGGACCCCTCAGCACTGCGCGTCCACGACCTCGCCCCCTGCGAGATTCCAACCCAGGACCTACTGGTTTCATGCGCGAGCACTTAACCATTAGACCACTGAGCCGGCATCCAACGGTGTTAATGTCTAGTTTCAACTAAACCACGAAATTGAGCGACACATTCACCATTGTCTTCAGTGAGTTACTATCTCACAATAGACCTGGTTGAACTCCACTGGTCACTACTTCCAGGTTTTCCATGGTGGTCTAGCTTCAACTGACCCATGATCTTAACCATTGAAATTACAAGATTTTCTGTTGTATTTTCACTAATGTTAATTTCACATGTCACTTTTCTAATATAATATCAGGAAGTTACAAATAAACTCATGGTTATTATTAATTCGTACAACTGTATGAGAATTATTTATCATATATTCTTTGTATCTCCTAAACTGGAAAGAATCAGCTATTAGAATTTTCTTAGTTTTTTAATAGTTCTTTAATTTATGTCAATCTATGATGAAAATTACTTAAGTACGTTTCTGCTCATAAGTTAGTAAATTGATATCATTTGAAGGATCTTAACTAAGATATATGAAATTTAATTACCATTTCGATCATTTGCGGTGTTTTTTTTTACTAGTTACCTTGAACAGTTTTTCGTGAAATTTTTCAAGATGTACAGATTCACTTTATTCAGCATTCTGTTGTGGGTCATAATTCGATTAAGGAATGACATTTAGAGATTGTCTAATAAATAAGCAAAATTCTGATCGAATGATGCGATATAATTATATGATCATTAGGAACCAATATAACCTAGTTCAGCACACAGTGCTATACATTAGAAGTTTAAGGAATAATGTACTGCTTTACGACGGTTAAAATAAGTAAATGAGATGCCGATAGACTAATAAAATACAACGATACACTATGTTCGAATAAAAGCCGCCTACAAGGCTGAATAACTGATGCAAACAGTTGAATGGACCAAAATCAGTAACAAGATTGGCAATCAAGAGAACAGACCAATTTTTATCGTAGAATGACAAGCTTATATACGAAATATTAAACGAATAAATAAACATTATTGAATCGTTAGTTTAAAACATGACCAACTGGACGATTCGGATCAAATAAGTCATTCAAACAGCAATGAAATTAAGAATAAATCATCAAGCTTAACTCGTACCCGATATATCAGACCTCCATCATCATGACAATGTAAGGTATAGGGTCGGATACAAAGTTGGAATAAATAACTGAATTTGTGTAAATAAAGACTGGTTAAGATTGTTTATTTAGTACTTGCAGCACTTGAATCATTGCATGTTTTATTAGCAATAGACTTAATAGACTTAAATCTTGTCAAACTTATCAAAACTCACAACTTCAATGAATAATCAGTCAGTCACTTCAAATATAAATTATTCTTGATAATATATATTTGAAAATACTTATTTAATGATCTACATGTTTGCATCTTGAATATGAAATATCATGAAATAACTACATGAATTACTACAAATGACTATACATCTAAAAGAACATTATGTTACAGAGATAATATGATGTGAAAGATACATTATTTTTTTGAAAATATCCATAATTTATCATTATTCAGCTTATTGTTTACATAAGTTTAATGACCGATTATGCATGTGTATGAATGAAATATATTTATTTGAACACATAAAAACTGGTACAAAGTGGAACCAGATACATATACGCCACACAAATCTCATTCGATATGTGTGAGAGCTGTGATACTGACCAGGTGCCCAGACCGAATTAGGTGGTTTCCTTAGGGAGCCAAACACGGAGCCTTCGACCTAAAGATCTGATCCACAAGGCAGTGGAGCATTGTAAGGAGATACAGTCCCATGGTAGCCAGTGACCAACATTAGGTTCATCCGCCAATTGTTCTCTAGGGTACTGGAGCCCGTGTGCACCATTGATTTGGAATCAGGGTTTTACAACTCCTCTAGATAGAGTCTCCGTGACTACCAAACTGGTTAAAGCTCCAGGCATTCGCTTTTCGTCTTCTCAATTTCGTAAACAACACCGCCGTCACGAGAAGGCAGTGAGTAGGACTACGCTGGCAGTAGCTGTATACGCGTAGCTATGTGAGAGCACTTCGAGAGGGAGAGCGGACTCTCCCCATTTTCAACTGTATCAGGGCATTTGGGGGATAGAAACAAGTTAATGAAACAAATGTTGTCATATGCATTGAAATATTGAGTATATTGAAAGTTATGGAACCGAATACGTTAGTTTTATAATGGTTTGAAAACGTTTTATGAAATTAACTGTTTTTGCGCGTGATTTTCAGTTATGGTAAATTATTTAACAACGTATTCTTATTTCTTAAGTTCAATAATTAACATTAATTTTTCTGCAAATTATTCAAAATTATTAACTCAAAACTTATTACAAACTATCAGCATAGAGAATAAACGTGTAATGATACGGTATTATATGTATATACATGTAATTGTAATTGATGTTTAAATATAAAATAAAGTTAATTGTTCCATCTTTCACATTTTCAATAAACGTATTAATCTTAGTTAGGAACTCTGAAGTAATTTGTATTAAATGGTAAAGGGAATATAACTTGAATATAATAACTGACATATATTTTTGGTGGATGATACTTATGTGAAACAATTTAATAATTGTATTGAAAGTCATTAAAATGACAATAAGCTAGTACAGTAAAATAAAATTTCCTCAGCTAGTAATTAGTCGATCTAATTATACACTGAAAGTTATAGCTGTTAATTATTAATTTTTGACTGTGGTCACTTGATTTACAGAACCTTTCTCAACTATGACATTAACTTGTTATTAATATATTGTAAAATAATTATTTTCGGAGTAAGTTACATTAGCCATACAAAGAGAGTTCTATCTAAACGCAATTTTGAGCATTATCGTGTATCGTTTTCGAAATTAGAATGTAAAATAATTAATACCTCAATATTAAAATACCCTCACAATTCTGGTTACAGTGATTCTTCGGATATATACTTCAAAGTTATCTATGCGGTCAAAAGACCGTATTCTAAGGAAGCATAAATAGCTAACTTATGCACTGTAGAAGTTTCAGTGATTCATCGTTTTACAATTCAATTCCGTGTGAAAAAAATATGTAAAAGCTGTCATTTTGCCATCTTAGTTTTCCTTTCTCCATAAAGTACTTTTAAAATACTTCTTTCTATCTTTCATTTTTAATCATCTTTTATTTTGTTCATCTATGATCTTAGTTTAATCTTCTCCTTTCGCATATTCACCAAATGAACAACTAGCTTTCATATATTTTTTCATCTTAACATTTTCCTACAATTTCTCAATCGTTGTATAACTCCTTGTTATAAAATCCTTTTTTTATTTTAATCATTAAATCATTATAAATATAAATGTACAGCTTGAGTAAATGGGATCATCAAAAAAAGAATAGATTTTATTTACTGAATTGTTATTAATTTCTTTTCATTAAAACAATCAGTTACTTTGGTTATTTTTTTTCCTAAATAATTTATTTATTATGAATAGTATTTGTATCAAAGAATGAGTGAATAATTATTGATCCTATAAACTATACTGATGAACATGGTGGGTCTGATGCATATGTGAAATCGCGGATCGGTAAAACAAGAGCAGCATATTTACAACCGAAGAACATCTGAAACTCAAAGCAACTGTCAACCAACACCAAGGTCAGAATTTACAATTCAAATGTCCAGACAGTTCTACTGTATGGGGCAAAAACCTGGAGAACTACGAAGGCCATCATTCAGAAGATACAAGTGTTTATTAACTGTTTTCCGCGCAAAATACTTCAGATCCGTTGGCCGGACACTATTAGCAACAACCAACTGTGGGAAAGAACAAACCAGATCCCAGCGGAGGAAGAAATAAGGAAGAAGCGCTGGAAGTGGATAGGACACACATTGAGAAAAGCACCCAACTGCGTCACAAGATAAGCCCTCACTTGGAATCCTCAAGGCCAAAGGGAAAGAGGAAGACCAAAAAACATATTACACCGAGAAATAAAGACAAACATGAGAAGAATGAACAAGAATTGGATAGAACTAGAAAGGAAGGCCCAGGGAAGAGTGGGTTGGAGAATGGTGGTTGGCGGCCTATGCTCCATTAGGAGTAACAGGCGTAAGTAAGTAAGTAAGTAAGTAAGTAAGTAAGTAAGTAAGTAAGTAAGTAAGTAATAAGGTAAGTATAAACTATACACAACCAACTATTGTAAAGAACAATTTAGTAGTATCATTCGAATATCTAATGCATTTTATTTATTAAGTTTATGATTAGCATTTTCAATATTAAAATATATGTAATTGTTTACTAATTATATTCTGCCTGTTATAATTTTTCTTTTATCCTGTAAATTACCATTGATTTAATTTGGTTTCTATCCAAAACAATTTACTTACTCGAATAATAATAATAATAATAAATTTATACCATTAAAAGTGCGTCATTATCCAAGTGATTATAGTTTATGGATATATAAAATTGTTGGGAAGGGATTTATGATAAATCGTACAGGGAACGAATGAAGATTAATTGTTGGTTAGGAAATTAAATAAATAAATTGATATTGTTATCTATTCTCGATTGAATTTGCCAAAAAAAGCAAACAAATGAAGTTGGAAATCAGTTAAGATGATATAATACGGGAACTAAATAATTTCATGTCAAAGAATAGAATAATCAAGATTAAGGAACAATAATATTATAAAATACTCTGGTATATGAATATCAATGTTTATTCAACAAACTAGGTCACTTGCTTAGCAATAATTATATAATGAAAGAAATAAAAAGACCGTTTTGAAGGATAGCTTGTGTCATATATTGATCTCTTTAAAGATTTAACTATTCATGTAACTCAAAACTACATATCAACTTAACCAAAATCATAAAGACTTAAAAATCAAGCCTAACAGATTTCATATCAAATTTTTTTTTCAATTTCTCAGGCAATTCGATATAATTTTCACAGATAAATATATAAATGATTGAGTTCCGCGTGCGTTATTAATGATAAGCACTGTTGAGGAGTCTCATCCTAGGGCGAAAAGTCTGTCCAGTGCATTTAGGTTTTCATTGATGTTATAACATTGATCGGTTCATGATCTTAATTAAAAAAGCTCAACAACCTACACAACCTCACACCGATACATATTATTTACAGATAAAACTAATGTTACATGAATTCAAAGTAAACAAAATTATACATTATAGAAATTCTATACATTCTCAACAGTTCAAGAATTCATCTCATTACTTATTTTTGTAATTAATAAACTTAATGATACTGAACATTGATGTACATATGTATATTTTAATGAGAAATTTTTTTGGATATTATAGTAATTTAATAGTTGAATTCGTGAGTCAATTGAAGCTAAACCACTATGGAAAACCTAAAAGCATTGGACAGCCGTCTCATCCTATTGTGGGACTCCTCAGCAGTGCGTATCCAAACCCAAGACCTATCAGTCTCGCGTGCGAGCGCTTAACCACTAGATCATTGAGCCTACATCCAACGGTGTTAATGCCTATTTTCAACCAATTCATGAAACTGAGCCACCGTCTACCGTTGAATCTCTCGGGGCAGGATCATGGGTGCGCACTTCTGGTGATCTAGTTTCAATTGACTCATGAATTCAACTAATAAATATGTATACTTGTCACAATTCTATTGTACAAATAAATTTACTCAATATTTTATTGACTTCTAGCTCGATTGACGTATTTCAAATAAAACATTTATGCTAGTTATTAACTTGTGTTTCTTGCTCTATTTCACACTTATTAGTAAGACTTATTTGTAATCATAATAAAGTTGATAATATTGAGCATAATATTCAAACTATTTTAACTTAGTACCATATTATAGAATATTATCACTGAATTCTATAGATCAGTATGAAATAAATAAATAAAATAATTATGGTTAATAATGAATGATATACAAGTATGGATAATAAGATTATCCTATACATTAGAATCATTAAAATAATAAAGGGTCTATGTATTATGTGAAAAGATAACAGACTATGAAAAACTTAATACACTTAGTATTATTAAAGAATTAATATCTTACAAATTAACAGTTTTAACTTATTTAATATCACTAACCTCAAATTCATATTCAGCATGAGCGTATAATCCTTCATTAGGAGAGATTTTCACGCGAAATGGTATTTCATCTAGTTGGTTTGAATGATTACTATTATTATCCCATGATAAAATTTTAGCTTGTCCATTGGTTTCAATCTCGATCATAGAGATTAACTCTGATAATTGTCTCCATACTACTTTATACATTGGTATATGTATGTTTTAGCATCTATTCATTCATATAAACTATTTGGATGCAGTATGCATATATATATACATCATGAAATTGTTAAGACAAGTTTAGATTACCCTACTAGATGGATCGATATTTGTAAATTAAAAATTTCTATGTTTTTAGTTGTTGTTGTTGTTGTGATTTATTTACACTTTTATTTACTCATTTTGTATTTTTTGTTTTGTTCTCATTTAAAAACAAACAAGAAATGCAATTTTACACGGTAAGTAAACTTTTTTATTATTTTAGATTGATTATTCTTTTGTTATGAATTTCTATAAAGTTTTAAAATATTTTCTTACTTTGATTAGTTAAACTATTGAATATGTTAATGTATGAATAGTCCATTGTCGACACGTATAATTATAATCTTAAAGGATCAAAAATAAAAACAGTCCTTAAGAAATTCCTAGTTATCAAGTAGTGTAATATGCAGGAAACGTTTGGGGAATTATAGAAAGTAATGACATAATATGTCGATAATTTAACATGTAATCAAACTCAGGAGGCTACAGTTTTTTCATTAATCAAAATACCATCCAATTACTGTGTTGAAATTCAAAGGTTCATAGTTTTTTCAGTTCTTTTTAAATTATACACAATTGCCCTCTCCCCAAAGAACCCATCTAAATCGGGAAATATTTATCATGACACGCTTCCAATTGCTTTTTCAACCATATTTCATTCCAAAAACAAATGAATGTCCTTATCGATTTGAATGGTGATAATCTCTCAAGTACAGCGAATGCTCTGAATCCAGAAATTCACTCATAATGAAATAAGAGTGAAAGTGAATAAATTGTGAACTTAGGAATATATTAGTAAATGACAAATTTAATTAAGAATACATTATTTAGTCTAAAGTGATTGATATCTTCTAAATTTAGAATTTTTTTTACAATCTCTCCTTGTAAATGACTGAACCCTGTCCCAACAGCTTCAGATTACGCAATGTTTTCGAATATGATATTAATCCTTATGAAACACAAACTACAGGATTTTAAATAAACTGATCACTTGATGATTTGTAATGATTGTTCTAATCATTTTTCATATAACACATATACACTACTGTAGAGCATAGAAGTATTACATAAATTGTCCTAAAGATAACGTCTATAATACACCCGAGTAGATTTTTTTTCCTTAATCGTTCAAGAATTATTAACGCAGATATTCACAGCTTTCAAATTCATCTACATGGTTTGTTTGATAAATTTTGTAAAAGACAATGTCCAAACATATTGATCTTACCTAATCAAATGAAATAACATTGATACATTACTCCATGAATATAAACATACCTAATTAAATAGTGAAGAGATTATTTAAAAACTTACAACAGTAGTAAGTCGAACAAAAGTTAATAAGTAATTTGAGTGTGATGAAAAAATTTACAGAAACTAGAAGTGATAGTGTGTTTTCACCCCTTATTGATGAACTAATTATAGCATAACACAATGTTATGTTCTCATGTTGAATTTTAAATAAAATTATTTTAAATGATGTTGACATTATTTGTAATATTCATCTGGAAACAGTCCTCTTCATTCACGCTAAAATTGAATTAATTGATAAAGTTGAAACGGTTGAATGACTTTCATCGCCAGATCTTTGATTGTAAAGAATAAATGGCTATATTAGGCTTGCTGTTTTCCAAAATAATGTCGTTAAAAGATCAATTTAATAGCATAGACCTTCAACTGCATGAAAAAGAAATAAATCGGTTTACCGAATGTGAGTTTCCTTGCACCACATACTAACACTGAATTCATGTTATTTTATTTTTTTGATGAAATGTCAACTCTTCTAATCGGATTTCCTATCTGAATAAAATTGCTAGGATAGTCGAGATGTATCATAAACATAAAAGGTTTTTAAAATCAAAGTTATATTTACAAAAAGGCATAACCATTGGGTTTACGCATGCATTTGTTCGAAAAATTATTGCATAAAATGGTTGTCATTTTTTTCAAATATAAGAATGGAACGTTTTTTTATTAACGCTCTGATAAGGTAAATAAACAAAAAGTTAAAGTTTAATTGGAAATCCTCAAAAAAGACTACATATATGACTCCTCTTTATTTGAAAAAAAGGTAAATTCATTCACTTCAAAACCTATTGATGCGACTTTCTTGATTGTTTCCTGAAGATTTTTTTGTTTAACACTTTTAATTCCTCTCTTTGATGTTCAAACTGAGACTTGTATCCAGTAACTTTCGAGCCTAACGCCCAATCGCTATTTAATGAGCTGATCCAAAGTTCCTTTTGATAAACAAGATTCTTATTTGTTTATTTATATGAACACATAAAGATTGGTACAAAGGGGCACCAAATACATATGTGCCACGCAATACCAATTAGAATGTGAAGAGAAAGAATATAAAGCGCATATAAGAAAAAGAACAACAATAATGATTAGAAATTAGTGCATGAAAGTGAGTAATAATAATAATCGTAATAATGAGAGGGGCAGTTCAGTTATCAAAGGTACAACCAGAAATTCTTTCAGTTAAAGAGGTTACGTCTATTATTTTATGGAGAAAAGAAAGTTACAGCAGGATCACCACTAGATTATATTCTAAACCATATCTGATAACGTCTAGCCACTGTATTTCACCATCTTTAGGACCCAACCAGGAATTCGTGAAGGACCAACAGAAGTCAGTCCTGTACAGCTTTCTTTCATACCATGTCACACTGATCACCTCACCGCTGTTCTGAGACGATATTCATAGAACATGCCCGAGCCACCGGAGTCGATGTTTCAAGATAGTGACACCGATTGAATTATTGTCTCTGAGCTCGAACACACGATGCCGAACCTCTGCATTACTAACATGGTGTTGCCACTGGAAGCCAGCAATCCTTCGGAGACAACGACGATCAAACGCAGAGAGTCGTGTAACATCCTCAACTCAGAACGAACAGGTTTCAAAAGCATAGAGCAAAACTGCTCTCACCGATGCGTCGTAGATCTGACCTTTTACAGCCAGACTAACATCACGAAAGCGCCAAAGATGGTCCAGATTGGCATAAGCGGCATGAATCGATCTCATCTCTCACGCTGCCACCAGCACTTACATAGCTACCCAGATACACGAACTTCTCGATTACTTCTACATGCTTACTACCCAGAGTGAGTTCAGGATCAGGGTCCTGCCAATCTTGTAAAAGCACTTTGCATTTCGAAGGTGCAAAGCACATACCATACCTATGGACACTATTTGCTAACTGATCGAGTGCGGATTGCATGACTTGAGTATCATCGTACAGTAAGAAAATAACATCTTCATACTGAAGGTCGAGAAGTCATTCTCCAGGCAACAGATCCACACTGTCAAGTAACAGAAGCACACCAGCATTACCTACATCTATCAGAGATGTTTCCAGAAAGTCATCAACAGCAAAGTTGAAGAATAATGGTGAGATTGGCTAACCCTGCCTAACCCCACTACCTGAATGGGACAATGGAGAGAGGTGGTTGTATGCTCTCAATCTGTCTGTATTCGTGTAAAACCTTTCAAGATGCTAATAAACATCACAGTCACACATTTTTTTTAAAAAAACAATCCCAGAGAGCAGTCCTATCCAATGAATCTAAAGCAGAACTAATGTCAAGGAACACTGGAACTGTTGGCCTGCAATACCCATAACAGTATTCTAGATAAAATCTGGTAGCTGAATGTAATCCCTCCTAATTGGTTTCAATATATAAGAAGGGATCAAAATCATCCTGTGCTAACCATAGAGGGGTTAGTTTGACAATCAAAGCATCTAAAATACTAGCCTCGTTAATTATTGGCCACCTAACTAAAACTCGTGAACTGCAAACACGAGAAAATCAGGCTGGCTTCAAAACTAGTCGTGACTGCATCGAACACACATTCGCCATTCGTCAAGGTCGAGAACACAGGCATGCTTGTCGGCGTCCGACAATGGTGGTCTTTCATGACTTAAAAGCATTTGACTCTGTAGACTAAGAGGTTCTGTGGCAGTGTCTGTCATTGAAAGGGCTCTTCACTCGAACACTACTAATCGAGTCAGAGCTAATGGCGAACTGTCATCTCATCACCTCAAGTGGTGTCCGTCAAGGCTGTCTACTTTCTCGATTTTCGTTCAATTTAATCATATACCTACTGCTGGAAATAAATCTCGTTGACTAAATTTCAGGGGATCTATTTGCTACCAGAAGGTCCACTTATTGGTTCAGAATAAGCAGATGGTAGCACTGAGCAACAATGCAGTATCTCAAACGGACTGATTTTGAAAATGTGGAAAAATTGACGTCAGTTAGTTCATAGTAATGAAGGATCATTACAAATCTTGAATGTTCTGAGTTGTAAATAATCATTATTAAGAAGTCCCACGGATAGGAGAAACAGACCTTCTTTATTGATTTTCAGTAGTTATTTCAGTAAAAAGTATTTCTGAGTTATACCAAAAGTATTTTATATATAGATATATAACATTTTTATTGCCAGGATATGTTTTCAAATACAAAACACTTTGTAATTTGGAAATAATCCAACCACGCTTTACTTTCTATTTTAACATGTTCAATATAATGACATCAATGTGAATATGATGAATCATTAAACAAATTAAAACAATAATAACTTCCTTATAAATATATATATTTTTTTACTTGTCAAGAGAATGTTAATAATATGCACTCTAATTAAATGATTCATATGACATAATTAAATATGAAATCGAATCAATTACATTTTAATGCCTAATTACAATCAATTATTCAATTACTTAATTTGTATTGAACAATAACAACAAAAAGTTATCATTTATGGATATTAAAATATAAAAAAACTTATCATGGTATATTTTTCAAATTCATCATTCTCATTATATTCTACTATTAATGTATCATTTAATTTTTTGGCAATTCGATGTCAGATATAATATGATTGATAGAATTCTTGCCAGTACTAAATGACAACACAATTTCATACATTTTATTGATCAAAGATTAGTATATGAATAATAAATACGTTTATAATTATTTTATAGAAGTTAGAAAAACTGATGAAAGAAATCAACCTACTGTTAAAAGTCATACTTTACAGAGGACATAAAATAGATATAGAATAAGGTCACAGTCTACCAGATAAAGATCATTATATATATATATATATATATATATATATATATATATATATATATATATATATATATTACTCATTCACAATATACAAAATTATTAAATAAATAATGAAACAACAACAGTAAGTAAAAGATCTTTCAAACAACTGTAGTATTTTGCCTGGATATACCTTGAGAATAGGTTATGATAGAAAGTATATTTTCTCAATTATAATTACAATTAGAATTGAAAAATATCTATCATAGTAAAAAACATATTGACTATAATATCGCTAAGTATTCTTTTATACAGATTGAAATCATGAGTCAGTTGAAGCTAGACCACCATTGAAAACATGGAAGCACTGAAAGACCGTTTCGTCCTAGTATGGGACTCCTCAGCAGTGCGCATCCACGACCCAGCACCCCCGGGGCTCGAACCCAGGACCTACTGACTTCGCGCGCGAGCACTTAACCACTAGACCACTGAGCCGGCATCCAACGGTGTTAATGTCTATCTTCAACCAATCCACGGAGTTGCGCCACCGTACACCATTGTCTTCAGTGAATTGTTATCTCACAACAGACCGGTTGAACTCCACTGGTAACGACTTCTCACTAGAACTCCAGAAGTATCGCCTGAAGTCAGTCACTAGTGAGCAGGTGATTATTATTATTATCAGAACGTGTGGATGCGCACTGCTGAAGAGTCCCACGATAGGTCGAAACGGTCGTCCAGTGCTTTCAGGTTTTCAATGGTGGTATAGCTTCAACTGACTCATGATTTCAATCTGTGAATATTCTTTTATAATCAAAAATAATCACTAAAAGAATTGATCTATGACTGATTGGATGAGTTAAAAAGACTGCCACTAAAAATATTTCAAGGTAGAATTGAATAGACTTGATGAGACCGTAGTAAGAATAAATAGTCGAGTCCCTTACTTTCATTGCAGGGAATTTATCAGTTGATTTCATTATATGAAGACAAAAAACCATCACGTCTAAAACATTCTCAACGCTTTTCCCACCTAATCCAAGAGAAACCTTTGAAATATGCTTTATATATTGAGGAAACCATAAAATCTTACAAAGGCATGTAACAAATGAAATGAAAATGTGAACAGACGTCAATGAGTACGAAGATTACTCGAGTTAACATAACTCCTAGTCTGGTAGCCTAGAAATATAGATGAACTATGAATACCATAATTAATATTATTTGGTTTTCGATAAAAACCTGTGTATTTGGCCTTCTTTGACACGTGGGTTGGTATAACGTACGAGTGTATTAATGATTAATTTAGATGTTAGATCAAAAAAATACAAAATCGAAACAAAGATCATCAGAAATATTTTCTATAATTACGTAGGTAATATAACTACCTACTTTTAACTAAATCACGTTAATTGAAGAAATTGAAATAAATAAAGCATTCTATATAACTAGTGCATTTTAAGGTGACTACGATCGTAACCAAATTCTATCATTAACATACGGATAAAAAACATTGATTTGAGCTAATAAATACACCAACACTAAAATGATAGTCACTTAACGTAACGACTTACATTTTCAATAGTCATTTTGTCTTTATTAATCAATGGAATTACTATGAACGTAGTCATTGTATCATGACTAAAAAATATATTTCTATTTACAACTGTATAAATTCGATTCAGATTTGTTAATATAACTGTAAAATACAAATTAATCACTTTTAACAAATGCTTTACAACAAACAAAAACATGAGTAATTGATAATAAATATCTTACACTAATTTCACTCAACACTGACTCATAAACTATGTACGAATTAAACTTCTGCTTCTTCTTCTAAATACAAAAAACTAAATGAATCGAGAACTAAAACGAATAAACGGATAATCAATTGCACCCTCATACTATAAACGTAACATATCTATTCATGTTTTTAAAATATGGGAAAGTGTCGTGTTTGCAAATTAGGTATTTATCCAACATGCTCCACATTCAAAACCACCCCTTCAATATTCCATTCTGGATAACATTCACAAACAGATTAGGAGTAGTAACTTAGCGCATAAACCACGTAAACTTGATGAGTTAAAATTACCATCGTTCTCATCAATAATACGCATTGAAAACAATACAAAAGCAATTCACTGATCAACAATAATCCTTTTAATTTAAAAAATGAAAACAAGAGAAACTGTGATAGGTCCACCTATAAGACAGGATAATAATTTGTCAATTAAGCTTTGGTCAAGGAAAAAAACTCAATATGTTGATGCATAGTGAAAAATGTAACAACAGAAACGAATAACAAAAGGAGTGTACGAACTGAAGAATCCAAAAACAGAGCAAAGGAAAACAAATAAAGTAATATAAGGACAGAACTAATTATGACCGTAAGTATAAGCAATGAAATTTGATTGGCTTTTGTTTAACTTTCGATAGATACTTAACAAAAACAGCATATTAGCTCTATTGAACTAAGAAAACAAAAATAAAGCAATGAAAACAAACGAGCAAGATATTTTGAACAAGTATTTATTTATACATGCAAATAATATATATATATATATATATATATATATATATATATATATATATATATATATATATATATATATATATATATATATATATAATAGAGAGATGCAAAACAGAATAAACAGTGTAATTCTGGAATGATTGTATGTAGTGTGAGAATAAAACAAAGCAAGCATACGTTTTTCTCTTTTTACTTAGTCAACAAAAACCAACAAACAAGATCAAAAAGCGTAACACATAAGACTGAATAAATGAAAATTAAAGGCGTATAAGAGGACAACAATGTTGGAAGCTCGAAAGCAGAAATTAGGGAAAGAGAGAGGCAAATGAAAAAAAGCCACACATTATGATCCATTTTCTTCTGTTTGTTTGATTGATTGTTTTGTTTTTTGTTTTCATTGATGTGCAACAAAAAAGGCAAAGTAAAGAGATCGTATGGAAAGACGCAGGACAATATCTGTTCAACTTGTTCAATGAACGTACAAATAGAGAAGAACAAAAATCTGTATTGCAGCAAATGTAAATAGATGAAAAATCATTAAACTATGTATAGAGATAAAGAGATGGATATAGCTCGAATTTGATAACACCTGAAGAAAAAAAGCCATTAAAACACCGGGCTGTCGAAATATATTTGATGATTGAAAAATAAGCATGTATATTGTACCGAATTGTGTTCAGACGACCAAAACATTAAAAAGCTGATGTTACAAATATCAATACTACCGCTATAAAGAGGTGCTTGTTAAGACAAAATATCCTGACTCCTGCCTATAGAAGCTGATTCACTTTGTAGCTAAATAGAAAAAAAAATGAAAATAAAAGAATTATTATACGTCAATCAAGGGCCTTGCAAAATATTACGTCTCCAAATCGATAATTATATAATTATATTACAAGACCACTGGTGCATAAATTATAAGTTCTATTCACTTTTACATTGAGTAGCACAATGAAGTACTAGAGTCAAATATAAAGTTAGCTAATACAACTGTTACATTGTCTTGTGAAAATTAATTAACTCTAGATCAGAAACAAACTTCTTACGATAGAAACTGATATGGTGTAACCACTTCATCAAATGCGCGTATATTAACAGTATAATTTCTTGGTAATGGTTAACATCGAAAAAAAGTGCAGCAGAATCATTTAATTAAATCTAATGAATATAATTGAAGTATTTAAGACTTATTAATAATTTATCTGAACTACGATATAATTGAGGAGCAGCAAATTATAAATATCATAGAATCGTTATATTTAAATTCGAATAAGTATACAAACAAAAAATTATGTAAAGATAAACACTTCCCTAAATGAGTTGTTAAATGATTAGTTATTACAAAAAAAAAACTGTAGAAGTGTTAAGAAAAAATAATAACATCTGACATTCTTTTTCTTGACAAATACACAAACAATTTAGTTTTAAAAAACATACTCATGAATCCTAACTTAATTCACTTTGATGAGAAAAACGCAAAAATGATGGCCTCTGGAGAATGAAAAATATTCCACTAACTTGAAATTTGAGATCCAGATTGAATTGGATTAGTTATATTAGAGGCAGGAATTACAGAAGTAGATAAATGAACTACATTTGACGGAATGGCATTTGTTATATTCGGAACAGATGACTTAGGTTGATGAGGAGGAAGGTTCTGAGTTCGAGGTAGCGTAACGGTTAATGTAGTAGTTGGAAAAGTTACAGTTGATGGGCCAGTTTGTAAGGGTATATTCTCAATCTAAGGAAAAGAGTAAAATAACGGACAATATAGCATAGATAAGCATAACTACATTTATCACAAAATCTACGTAGAGATAAGAAGAATTTACACTGGTACTTAACAAAGTGTAGCAGTATTTCCCTTTGATATAACCAATATGTAAAAATGTCAAATAGTATAAATAATCAGTTTTGTACAATTGGCACAGCACATCACATACGTCATGCTAGATTGTTTATTTTCCACTATGCTGTTAAGAGAAGCGATCAATTAGGTGACTGTCTACTTTAAACATTAACACAGTTACGCATATGCTGACAATAATAATTTGTTTTGTCGTCATACAATGTGGTCTTAGACAATCAAAATATAAAAAATAATCTGCTCTACAGATAGCTTATTAAAAATTTTAATATATATAATGCTTAATGTTGATAGTCATTTCATAATTTCACGCAATGTTTTATATTTCTACCGGAATATCTTAGTATTAAAAGAATCTCTTTAAGAATATGTCTTGTAATCGAATTTTAGAAAAATAACGATTGAATATATCACCATTATCATTATCAAACATCTAGTTATAATCACAAAAGAAAACAACGAACACCTATTCCACATACATTGAAAATATACACACAATAATTACACTAATCAGAGCAGTAAGAAGAATACTGGTTAACTTGAAAATGAATGATAATCGTTGTCTGAACCACACAATGAACAATTAAGGTACATTGTTTTTTATTTGTCCAAATAAACCACCAATTCGCCGACTCACTTTATACGCATGATAGGTGAATATTCTTTTTTACAGCATTACTATATCCATTGTTCTACAGACCGAAATTGAAAATAATGGAAGTGTGTAAGAAAACAAATTCAGACTTCCTGTCAGTTATATATATATATATATATATATATATATATATATATATATATTGTTTGACAAATTGATATTAAATTAGTGATGTGACACACAATAAAGGAATGAGATTGTGAAGAGATAGATGAGAGAAGGTAAGCATAATTATAAAAACAATAAATCAATAAAAATAAGTGAATGAGAACTAAGAGAAATAATCAGAGATGCAGTACAATCAAAACAAATATAATCAGGAAGAATCCTCACAGTCGAAAATGCTCTTTCAACTTTTATGAAGAAAGTGAAACGCAATTACAGTAGGACTGCCAATGACCTTTTTCTGAGTCTCTAAGACCCCAAAAAGGGTGGTCGTGATCAACTGACAGAATCCGGTCAAGTACATCTTCCTCTCACAACACGGTGTCATGACATAAACTAACCACCTCCCTGTTCTTCCCAATCAGTTCCAGCGTGAACAGATAATGCACGATGTACAATTCGCTTAGATAACATTTGTAACATATGCCCGAGCCACCAAAGTCGGTGTTTTAGGCTGGTAACACTATCGTCACTGTACCAAAACACACGCTGACAAACAACTGTATCACTAGCACGACATTAATAAATATCGGTAAACGTTTGGAGACAATGATGATCAAGCACAGAAGCTACATAACGTCCTAGACCCGAAAACTTCAGGTTTCACAAGTATTATAAAGCAAAACTTCTCTCACCGACGCATTTTAAGTACGACGTTTTACAGACAGAATAAGATCGCAGAGTCAGAGATGGATTAGAATGGCACAGACCACTCTGGCTTTAACCATACGTAGATCGATCTCATCAGTCACGTCACCACCAACACTTACACAGTTATTTACATACACGAACTTGAGGAGTGAACGTAGATACAAGCTCTTGCCAGCCTTCTCAAAGCGTTCCACACCTAGAAGGTGCAACGTACATGCCATGTGTATAAGGATTAACTACCTAAAGATCATGTATGGATTGTATGGTTTAGGTATCATCATAAAGCAAGAAAATAGTGCCACATAATCAAGGTCAAAACGCTTATCTGTAGGTAACAGATCAACTCCACCATTATATATACCCATCAATGAATAGTCATGTCCACTGAATCGAGGGTAGCCTTGATGTCAAGAAACACAGTGATTGTTGGCCTGTAATAAGTATGGAGGTCTTCCCGCATTTAATGAAAGGTGAATATATGGTCAACACATCTTCGACCGGAATAATTAATGTTTCACAGGTTTTGGACAATATGCTAACTACGACAGAAACCAATTGTTTGGACGCAGACGGAAGTTAACTTATCCCTTGACAGTTGTTGCATCCTTAAAAAGGCCACATGTAAGTCATTAAGGCCCGATGATTTGTGGCTCTTCGAGAGTCAAATCTCCTTATGAAATTCCACCCCTATAGGTAGGTCCGTCGCCACCGGCTATGAAGGACAGGACAGTCCGATCGATATCACCGAGGCGGCAGATCAGTGGGACTATCCTTCGAAGAACACATCCTATCAGCTTTTGAGATTGTTTCATTAACACCAGACTTCTTGCAGCCAGTGACTCAAATGAGTTGAAAGAGTTTACGATAGTTATCAGGTCCAGCTACTGATTCCGACTTGTAACTACGTTTCGACCACCAGGCTTCTAGGTCCTTACGCAAACTACGCACAATTTTTCTACATAAGAATCATTTGGCAGAAAACAATTAAAGCTTAATCATTAAAGGAAAATAAAAGACAGTAATATAAAAGAAATGCTACGACAGAAAAGTATAACAAGATGTAGAAAGATAATAGTACATTTTGTTTTCACGAAAAAAAGAAAGTGATATTCACCATATAGTATGGATTGCATAAAGTATTATATATTATGTATAAAATATGTAATTAGATCTTATCCGAATCTTGCTGTTAGAAAACATGCATAATGTGAAAAAAAACATGGCTAGATAGTAGTGTGTTCCTTTAAATAAAAGACACAAGTATCTACATTGGCCAAAAGCTAGGGCGACTGTCAAGAGAGATAATGGAGAATGTACAATAAAGAATTCTAAGTCGACTGAATTCTGAGTTGACTAAACCATTTCTGTAAACTAAAATATCATAAAGATGTTTTTAATACAACTGGAACTACCTACTAAAACAATAAATTTGAATGGTAGTTAACTGTCTCACAATGTTAAAACCACGACGTGATACAATTAAAGATAATTAAATGACTGTCGAAATTTCTATTCATACCCTTATATCATGGTCACGGAAACAAAAAAACAACCAAGAGATGAAAACCTTTCACAAAAATTCAATAACCCTTAAAAATCAACTGATTGTATCATATGACTTTTAATAACCATGCACAGATGTATTTATTTTAAAACTACCAATCTAGAGTTTGCAATTATTTTTCTGGTCAATATGGGGATATTTAATATAAACTTCTACATTTGAATTATGCAATCTATAATATGTAATTTAATACATCAAATTTTCATGCAGGCCAAAGAAGCTACCAAAAATGGCGAATGAATCGGTAATTCCATACACACGAACATTATTGACCAGAAGCTAGGTCAATAAAAACCCTAAAGCTAACATTTTCAACTAGATAACACAGAATTTAAGAGAATGATCACATGAAAAAGAAGACTAGACATGGATCATTATGATGAAAAAACTGTAAGACAAAATGAAAAACTGATGCTTATTCACAAAAATTAGACCGTTAATTTAGTAACCATCTGACGAATTTCCAGAATATTTTTATATGAGAAATACATAACCAGTACACCGAAACACGATATCAGCCCATACATATAGATTACATAAACGAAAACAATGAAACAAACAAGATATTTTAAGGGAATTGCCTTGTTTGCTGATGGAACATTGGAAGTTGATTTGACATTTGTCGCTGATCCGATAGGCGGAGGCTGATTCATATTAAGTCCTACATTGACATTTGTAACTGTTCCATTACTAGGCATAGCTTGATTCATATTGGGTATCAGACTGACATTTGTCCCACTAACCGCCATCGATGCATGCCCTGGTGAATCATTTGTTACGTGTACTCCAACTACTGAAGCAGCATAGGCACGTTGTTGTCTAGGCGGTCTTGGAGGCGGAGCTTGATGCAGTTGATTGGGTCCAGATATTTGAGGGATCGTCGAAGCACCTGTATCATCATCTTCCAGATTTGCAGGAGCCACCTGAATTTTACATAAAAATGTAAAATTTCAAACCAGTAATCTAAATAAAAAAGCATTCATTTATCCAATCGCTTATGAAAAATAACGAATAATTAGACTAACATAATTACTGCTTCAGATTCATTTGACAGTTAAACACACACACTGTCTGTCAAATAAATACTTAAACTAAAGTTATGAAATTATTTATTTTACTAACTATAGAACACGAAAATCATACTAGCTTTAAAGTACCTCCCATTTATGACAACACACTTATATTATTCCTATTTCGCTTGTTCAAAACATGAGATATGGCAACTTGGACCGATACACATATGTGCCTGGTCCTACGTTGTAGCTGACTGAATGTTCAAAACATTCCTGGACGTCATAAAAGTTAAAAAATTCGACTGCAAAACCGTTTCATAATTTTTATACACCATTTTCTAGACCTCAAACGTTTTGCTCGATTCGTGTGAACAGACTTCCTCAGATTTGCCAACAATGAGTCTGGGATGGAAAAGAAAAAGAAAAAGCACATGCTCGAAGTTTTTGACAACATAGAAAGTCGATGGTTGTCTTATCCATAAGCCACCGAAATTAATTACGTTCCTCAGTTAAAAATTTGATCCAGCTGGAATAGACTTTCTACACAGTAAGTTATTCCGATAGATAGCCCTAAACAACTGATGAAGTTCCACAGTTTTTGCAATTGTCAAAAAAAATTGAAATCCTTTTCTGTGTAATTATTAAAGAGATTACTTAAAAATCATTAGGAACTAGAGTATAAATACACATCCAGATTCCGAATAAAATGTCTTTAGAAATAAAAAGTACATCAACGTACTGTAAACTTGTTAGCAACGGTTGTTCCTGATGCATTCACAGGCCTTGTTGAAGAGATGCTTGGCTGTTCAGTTGGTAGACTAGTAAGGGGATATTCAACATTGTTAATATCTTTAGTCACATCAACAGGTAATGCTACATAGTCATGTGTTGAACTGGAGGTTATAGCAGTACATATCGGATTAGATGTTGATATATTAGAAGCTGTGACAATAAACCGATTTAAAGAAGCGAAATTCGAATTAGAAGGAATAGGCAGTTTCGAACTGCTCGATGAAGGGTGGACATTTAAAACTTGATTAGTACTATTATTTACGGTTACACAAGTAGGAAATGTGGTATTTGTCCCTGTGAAATTGAACGGTAATTCTTGAGCTGATAGGTGAGGAGGTTGGTTTTGAACCTGTTGTTGTTGTAGAAGAGTGAGTAATTTATTCTGAACATCTAAAGGGAGAAAACCAACCTAAAGAAAGAAACATAGACACATATCAAAGATAAATCATATTTTATTATAAGCAGTTCCTATCAGAATAAGATGTTGATCAAATAGAATAAGAGTTTACAATGTAATGGATTAAAATAAATAAATAAAGATTTAATAATCATTAAAAAGATATTTTTTATTGATTTAATGCCCCCGAATGCGCTGGTACGGCTGAAGATAAAGAGAGTTCAATCTCTCTCAAAATGACGTCATATAGTCATTATCAGGGAAGTTCTACTTATTGCCTTTAGCAGCCGGGGTATTGTTTACGACATTGAGAAAACGAAAAGCGAATATCCAGGACTTTAACCGGTTTGGTCGACACTGAGTTTTCACATAGGGGAGTTGGTAAACCCTGATTCAAAACCAATGGTGGACATGGACTCCAGGATCTTGAGGGAACAAAGAGCGTATGAACCTATTGTTGATCACTGGCCATCATGGGACTGCATCTCTCTACGTTACTCCATCGCCTTGTGGATTAGACCTCTAGGTCAAAGGCTCGGGATGTGGCCCCTAAGAAAACCTTTCTCAGTTTGAGCGCCCAGGCAGTATTCCAGCCGTCACACATGTCAAATGATTTGTGAGGCGCATATATATTTAGTGCCTCCTTGTATTAACGTTTATGTGCTTAAATAAATAAATATTGATCTAATTAGATCTAGATGGATTCGAGAATATTTCGGCAAATCAGACAAATTCTATTTTTAATTACCAAAATACCTAACTAATTAGAACCGTATTTATTAGAAAATTAACAATATATTACAATTTACAGATGAATATAAGGTCACTGATCACTGATAAATAATTTTTTTAAATAATTAGTTTTCATAATGGCTTGTAAACAGAGATTTATAAACAAATACCTAAAAAGTGAAATAAATACAATTGAATATTTATACAATTCAAGATAACGGATAATGGCATTTTTAATGAGGACATTTCAAACTAAAACATCTTCACATATGCGTACACATCCTGCTTATGAATTTTCACTGTACTAGTAGGATAGGTAGTCTACCCAATGATACAGTGATTGGATTGTAGAAACCAAAAAAAAGTATGAGATACGATTACTTGGTTACTGTTCATATGCAGTCGAAATGGAATAAAAGAGAAAATTATACAAAATTTGAGTAGGTTAGATACAATATATTAGAAATTCTAGAGATAATAGTCGTATTAAAGAAAAGATGTTGGTCCATTATCGATAACTTGATTATAATTTCTCCGAGAATAAAAATCAGAAATTAAAAGAATCAATCAAAATAACGCAAGTTGCATTATTTTATTTGATGGTAGATAAAGTTTCACCCATAAATTGTTTTGATACCACGAATAAACTGATTACCTATTTATACTAGTCTACTTTAAGAAATTCTGGAATAGACATCGTTTGTGAAATAAGAATTTTATTGAACAATATAATTTGTTGAATTGTTAAAAAATAAAACACCGAAAATGAATTCTTTTACTACACATTTTAAGTAACTTGGCAATCCAATATACAGATTGTAGTACTATGAAATATTTATTTGAATTTCGATGCATAAAACAACTATTTAATCAATTGGTAATTAAAACAAGTAAAAATCTGAATCTAAAACGTCATGGATTTTATAGATGGGTCAGCCAAATGACCCATATTTATAATTTTACACTATTTTGTCAGTCAATCAATATACAGTTCATTTATTGAATAAACAAAAAGAAAATTAAGTGGTACATCATAATCGCCATACTGATTATAATCGACCATTTATATAGTTATTGGTAAGCGAGGACGACCGTAAAGGTCTTTTAGGTGTAAGATGGAAGTATAGTTATCTAACCAATCTAACACCGCGATCAACAGACAAATAACAGTATATATATATATATATATATATATATATATATATATATATATATATATATATATATATATATATATATATAGGAAAAGGCATATGAAAACAAATTAAACAAAACTTACACTATTATTATCAGGAGTTTGTTGGACTAAGCGTATAGCATTTGCCAACTCGGGTAAAATTTGATTCAGGTATGAATGAGCAGTAGATAAAGATAATTGTTGTTGATTTCTGTCTTTGATTGGCAAAGGAGAAGATAATTTTGGCATGACATTTAATGGATGTTGTGGTTGTTGCCACTGCTGTGAATTATACTGAAACTGTTGCTGCCCAGCAATAGGTTGTGTGATATGAGGTTGATTAGAGGATTGTTGTTGTTGTGATGCTTGTAGTGTCTGAGACTGTGTACCTTGTTGTTGCAATGGAATCTGAGATGCTTGTTGTTGGTGTATTTGATGTGTTTGTATTTGAGGGTTAACCGGTGTTTGTTGTTGTACCTGAAGTGATGGTATCTGAGATAATATTTGAGACGTTTGTTGTTGTTGTATTTGGGCCGGCTGTGGCGTTGGCTGCAGCTGAGTTAGTTGTTGAATTTGTCCGGACATTTGAGGCGGTTGCTGCTGACAATGAGTCTGTGTAGATGGTATTGTTGCATGAGATTGCTGTAAGACATGTGGTTGCATTTGAGAAGATTGTTGTGAACTTACTAACTGAGAGTGTTGTAACTGAGACTGCATTTGAGTTGACTGCTGATGTGTTGGTATTTGGATTAACTGTTGCTGCTGTTGATTAGGCTGTGATGATTGAGATGTGAGAATTCCACCACCTTGAACTGTCGATGTTTTTACTGCAGATTGAATATTCAAACTCTCTTGATTTTCCAGAGTGGATCCACATGATGAGAGATTACTTTGCGCAAACGAGGGATGTATTTGAATACCTTGATGTTTATGAACATCACTGACACTAAGCCATTCGGAGTTGGCAGCCGCAGATGATAGTAAACGACCCAATAAATCAGGCAAAGAGTTCACACTGGCTGCACATACTCCTGCATTAGATACAGAGGGATATGCAACACTATTAAACCGTTGGGGAATATGATTTGTTTGAGATTGAGTTGAAGAAAGAGTTACAGGTTGTGTTGATACTGGAGGAGAAACTTGTCTAGAATGTCGAACTACACCAACACTTGGAGCCGTGCCAACAGCTCCCGAACCTGCGGATTTAAGTCCCGGATTAACGAACTGACTCGAAGTCTTTAGAAGATTCGAAAGCAACTGAGGTACCTAAAGTGATAATTGATGAAATAACCACTTAGACTGGATATAAAATCAGAAAAGTCTTGTCAATTAACAGTGAAATTCAAAAACGAAATACATTTTATTCAAGATCGAAAAGACTAACTAATCACTACACTTTATCATGGTAGTTGTAAACAAACAGTATTGCTAAAATAATCAAGATAATGAAAATAGTTACGATCATATGCACTAGATAATACATGATCACATATCAAACGCTTAGGTATTCAACTGCATTTATTATAAATAAATAATTCAAATGCATTAAAAATAGATTTTTTCACTATTCAGAGTTGACGATGAATGAGTACACAACATAAAGGTCTGTACAACAAATCCATCTACGGGAGTTGAGAAACCATGATTATATAACACTGGAGCAAACATGGTTCTCAATGAAAGTGATATATGAATCTACAATAACCAACGGCTACGATGGAATTTCATTTTCTCACAACCCTCTGGTTTTTATAAAGAAGCACTCCTCTAGGCTATGACTCAGAGATCTGATTCACAAGACAATGGAGCAACGATAGATGAAGTCCTATCGTAGCCGGTGACCGAGAATGGGTTAAAAGTCATTTTCTTCCTCAGGATACTAGAGCGTATTGTGTACCATTTATATGGGTGTTCTCAATACCCACCACCCCGTACCAGCGCATTCGGAGGCATTAAATCAATAAAACGTATCTCTTTAATGTTCATTAAATCCTTATATATACATATATGTCAATATGAGATTGAGATTATATTGAAATCACAATCAGAAACTCAGAAGAACTGTACGACCGTTCCGCCCTCAGCAGTACCCATTTTTACTTAACCTAGTGTCCAGCCCAGAACCTGGGTCTCGCGAGAGAACATAGCTTTTAGACAATTGAGCCGGGATTCAACGGAGTACATGTATAACTTAAATCAAGGTATACGTTATTCCAGGCTCGTATGTATTAAAAACCAATATTTTGTACAAATGTAGTTGTATAGGTACATGGTTTTATGTTTTACTGAAACGTTTTCCTTTAAAAGATCATTTTACATGATTGAAAAAATACACTGAAATTTAATGCTTTCAAGTTTGGAAAATTAAAAAAATCTATATACCTGGTCTAAATTTTGTAGAGTATTAAGAGCTGATAATAATTGTAAGAGTTGTTGTGTATTTGGTTGCACAGCTGTTTGATGTTGTGAATCTTTTGATTGACTAGAATTTGACTGAGCCTGTGTATGTGACTGTGGAAATACGGTGGACTGTTGTTGTTGTTGTGGTTGTTGCTGCTGATTTTGTGACTGTAAACTCGGTAAACAGGATGGATTGCCTTGAGTTTGGTTGTTTACTAATATTTGATCCTGTAATAACTGTTGTTGTGAAAACATATTTTTGAGCGGTAAAGATAATTGGTTTTGAGCAACGATAGACTGAACTGGTTGCATATTATCTGTTGACAAATTTGGTTGATTTATATGTGTAGTACCACTTTTTACAGCAGAATACGGAAGTGATTGTAGAGAAAATTGTTGGTTCACAGACTGAATAAGTGATTGAATTTGATCAGGTAGAGAAAGCCGTGAATTAACTGTGCCTGTCAATTGATTGGTTGGTTGTTGACCAATAGAAATAGGGATTGAAAACTGGGATGTTGTATTTAACTCAGACTGAAGTGAGCTTTGCACTTGTTGCTGATTCTTTACGGTTAATGACGACTGGTTAGGATTCATACAAGATGCAGGGACAGCTTGTATTTGTGCCGAGTAGTAATTAGGTGATGCAGGGAGTACAGTCGTAGCAGCAGATGACCGGCGGCTTAAAGATTCAGGTCCTAAGTTATTATCAAATGGTAAAGCGTTTGGTCCTATAGCGACATTTTCTCCATCAGTATTTGTACCAATCATATTTAAGTGATGTGATTGCATAGCACCATGTGGTGCATCACGCAGTGCCATTAAAAGGGCAAGAACATCATCAAAGCTTAGTGCATCAACGTCTGAAGGTATAGGTAACTTTCGGACATACACGGACGACACGACAGGATTTGTTCCCGATTCGTGAACAGGAGAGTTAGGTGGACTGATAGAATGAGAATGCTCCATTGAACGAACCGGAACAACAAGAGCAGCTTTGTCTAACAACTGAATATTTCCTGTGTGAGTTAGAACTAGAGCTGAGTCTTTTGGAATCCTGTAAATATGAGGTCCCGAAAAACTACCATCAGAATTAGCACCAGATGCGAGAACAAAAAGTTTTTCAGAGTTCCCCTCGACAGTTGCCAGAAATGTGCTGTGTAAACAGGTGCCAGAGGGTATGTGTCGATTTCCAGGAATACCAACAAACATGTGTCCATCGGGTATATCAACGACTCGCACACCAGAGCAACGATAAAAAGACGATATTTCATTAGATTCTACGGTCGGTATCAAGACGCAAGCATGAGAAGGGTTTGAGCATAAGTTAGAAACCAAATTCTTCAAAGTAGTTTCCAGATAGGCAGGAATAGTGACAGTAACATTTACCAATTCCTCTGGAGCGAAAGAAACTGAAGAATTATAGCCAATCCCACCCTGATTACAAGTAGAGATATGATTTAAATTTGTCATATTATGTAAAGGATGAGTACTATATGACTGGTAAGCTACATTGTCCGATTGAGAAATGATAACTGGATCACGAGTTGTGGACTCATTGCAAGATGTTGATCTTGAAATTCCAACAAGCGTAGCACCTGGTTGCTCAGAAAGGCGTGGAACGAGAGGGGGTACTTCTTCTAAACCAGCTTGGCAATTAAAAAGGTTGACGCCTCCATTTTCTAAACGACCGACAGGCAGAGACAAAATATCATTTATATAGTTTAAGTTCATTGGCAACAATGATTGTGTGACGAAATTACTGTTTGAAATATCAGGTGCAGGAACATTCCCAGGAATTTGGCCAAGACCACCCTTTGTCCTGCTATTGCTAATAACTGAGTCGGAAGTAGGTAACCCAACAGCAGAAGATGAAGCAGCGCAATACATCATACATTGAGGGATTATATTATTTATAGGATTGCTGATTGGTTCAGGGTTACTGGCTACAGGATGAAAAAGATAATTGATTGGTTGGTTTATATTATCGACCGGGGACAATGGTCTAGAATTTTCACTGAATTCTTCTTCATCATCCAGATCTGAAGATACATATTTCAAACAAGAAATAGTATTAGTTTAATAAGTAATATGAGTTGATTTTCACAAACCAGTAAATATGTAAATAGGAAAAAAGTGAATTTACCGGACACTACATATCAATTCAATTAAAAGGTATGATGAACCAAACTGTTGATTCGTGAACTTATAGAAAAAACACCAAAACCTAAAGCTCGATAAAATGGCTTACTCAAAGCGTGAATAAGCCACTTGTCGATAGAGAGAGAATGAATAAGTAAGTAAAACAATATAAGATAATGTAATCCACGCGAAAGACATTTTTTATTACATAATACATACAGTCAACCAAATAAACTTATTAGAACAGTCTCAATAAAAAAACAGTTGCACCTTATTACGCTAAGGTATATATAATCTATATGCAGGTCTTTTGATGCACATACCTCCTTGAAAGATGGCTTCAAAAAGTGATAAAACTATAATGATAATTGATGGTTGTGGCATATCATAAACATGTTTAAAATTTTTGAAATATAATCTCTTCACAAACATGGTGTTAAGGTTTCTTATATAATACCCCAGCTAGTATTATTGCTTACTATTCTTCGGACACTTTACTTCACTCAACTAATCCATAGATCGGAAAACGGTTGAACAGGGACGTAATTACATTCCAAATAAAAAAGTTGAATGGGAGTAAGAATCACAGTAAGAAAAACGTTAGTGCACTTATGGTTTTGCACAAGAAAATTCTAGAGTTTTCTTTAATCATCCGCTAGAGCTTATTGGCCAATAAATGATCGATTAGTTTGCTCCAACGCAATCCTGAACAGTAAATGCTTTAATCCAATTTACATCTCGCTATTACATGTATGTGAACGGATTTCATCTAATGTTGGTTAAACGAATTGAAAACCTTTTTCCAAGCGAAAACAACTTGATGCAACGTTTTAACTAACCTTTAGAATCTAATGGTTGAATTTCTTCGAAATTAGAAATCAACGTTGAATTGTCATATGGTATTGTTGATATACAAGGTAAACAAGTACCCGGATTCTGAAACCCACTGTTACTAAATTGATTAGTGGAATTACAGTTGGTAGGTATACTAGATTGAAGGAATGGTGCACTCGACAGGTTAGTGGGTAGACGATTTATTTGATCAAATCCCACATTAGATGGTTGAGGATAGAAAATATAATCTTGGTTCAACTTTACAGAATGGACATCATTACGTAGAGCTTCCAGTAATTTCATAACTCCTTCTTTAGCGGCGCGATCAATATCCTTGTTAACAGGAGTATAGTCAGATCCTTGAAACTATAGAAGTTAAATGTTTAAATCAATCAATGAATAAATCAAATATAAGTGATCTTGACATACTAACAGAATATATGTACATCTGATTAAATATATCAATTGTTAGGACACTGAATATAACCTTAAATTATACGGTTGTTACAGAATAAAAATAATAAATCCATACTATTTAAATATACAATGATTATTACATGGAGGATTTATTAATTACAAACCTTTCTACTTACGGTATCAACACTTATTTTGCGCCGAAATCTTAATTCTACTAAATATCTTTACAGTGTTATGTGAAGAAAAGAGTTAGTGAATTAAAGTAATTTAAGGTGGCATATTTTATATTTATATATATATATATATATATATATATATATATATATATATATATAGCACACGTTTAGGTTACTAGGACTAGATACAATTTGATATTATGAAAAACTTTTATTATTATTATCATCATTAATAGTATTACCCCACTACTATTAATAGGAAAATACTATAGAAAATGATAAGATCCATTATGTAAGAACTGCAAATCAAATCCATGGAAAACACAACAATTAAATTCATAGCTAAGTTTTTAGGTGGTTGGGACCATCAGTGTATGTTAAGTTACCGACAGTAAATACTAAACAAACAAAAACGACTCGTCTGAAACAATTGAAAGTTTGAACCAATTTTATTAATGTATTTATAAAAATCAATATTTATTCTGTCAATGAACTACGCAGAGAGAGAAAAAAGTTTCACATTATACATGTAATACAAACATTTAGTTCATTCAAATAGTTATAGGACAAGGTACAAGAGTACAACTTTCAAGCAGTTCATGAAGATCGTAAATATCAATATTTCAGACCGTACAGTGAAGCATCGTATATTGCATTACATTAGTTGTTCATCATTTCTACTTAACCATTAAAAAATACCCATGATACAAACATATGATCAAAGAGTAAAACCTTGTCTAGTATTTGTAGTGTTTACTGAATACATTCGACGTAAAATGTCTTATCTAGAGATAATGTAGCTTAAGCAGTTATTAGCAGAGCATGTTTCTGTAGGTTGTTCATTATGGAGTTTACATCAAAAACAAATTTTCACAGACATCATTGTTTATAGAGAAAAATTTCGACCATCAAAAGTTGTTCAAAGTCACAGAAATTTCTATCGACCACGTAGTAAATATCATTTTTCACAGTTGCCTGAATAACGAAGACTGAACACTCACCACTAAATTCTGTCATCATTTATTTCCCCCTTGTAGGGAGAAACATTATTTAAACGACTGCTGGATATCCTTACAGTAATTAGAAAATTATCATCTACAAATAAACCTTGAAAAATTAAACTTATATAAAGGATTACAATCTATTAGAAAATATAAAGGCTACAATTCAGTAATAGACTAATTTGGAATTAGTTGCTCATGTGTAAACTATGAAAACAAATATGCAGATAACCGGGGTTAACATGTAGGTGGAAAGAAAAACCAATTAAAACATAGAAACATACCAACTTTATGTCTTCCAGTGTATCGGATAAATTACAACGAAAAGTTATCTTCCATAATTCATTATTTGGATTATTGATATCTGGCATTTCTAAGTAGAATGTTGGTCTAAAGTTACCAGGTTCACAGTTTTCAGAATCTCGTTCAATTTTAGTAACGCGTAAAATATACCGTGGTTTCGATTTCGATTTTTTTCTTGTTCTACGCTCAGTCGGCTACAAAATAATATATATTAAGCACAAAAAGAAGGAATAAATATACAATTAGTAACTAATTAGAAGTATTAGTAGTAAATGAGATATAAGAGAAGGTACTGAGAATATTAGCCAGATTTAATGATAAAATGTATTAAAACCAATTGTTATATATATATATATATATATATATATATATATATAATGTTATATCTAGAAGGTTGTTCTTGATATACTGCGTATAACGTGAGCACTAGAACGCCAGAACCCTTCCAAGTCGTAATGAGAAGACAGAAGACTAATGAAAGGAATATTATTCCCAGGCAGTGTCAATTATAGTACAAAATTGCCAGGTATTTATGGTTTTTAGTAAGAACGAAATCAACACGTAGGAATTCTAGAATGTTCTTCCAAAAGGTGATTGGATGGAATGTCTGTAGACTAATCAAATCTATTAGTTCCTACTAAATTAAGTTGAAGAAACGAGAGAAGATTAAAACGGAAACATATCAGCAATCACAAACAAGCATTTTATATTATATATGTGAAAGTTAATGACGCTGATCACATTTATACAAATTTTAATAAATACAGAAGGGTTATATTGAAGACATTTTACTGCATTGGTGGAAAACAAATAAACCTGTGAAAAATTTGGTGGTTAACCTTATGTGAGTGAACATTATGATCAATAATAATTTATTTTAATCAACTAGAGCGACTACACTGTATGCACAATTTTTTTAAACAACAACAACAAGCTTTAATTGTATTTCTCTTCTAATTACTAAGAGATAGAAGATCGCAGATAGGTATTGACTATGTAATCTGGGTTGCATAATAGATAATATTCTTTAACAGCTCAAATAATTTGTACACATGATCTTGGTACGATTGAAAGTTCCAACATATGCAGCTATCTCTTTATTTTACGGAGTCATGACATCCAGGGATTTACAAAATATATATCCATATTAAGGTTAGGGATTAACCGTTGATAACACACAATTATTAGCTGTTAGACTTATTATCAATTTTAACAACTGCACATATGCATTCATATCCGTATCATCAAAAAAGTCTATCATATAGCCATCTTTATGAACTTTTGAAATAGATCAAATCATATTGCCTTACTGGTTAAATATAAATTAGTTTATGGAACGTGTTTTAAAACCTAATCATATGAGTAGAAATACATTGACTTCGATTAATAAGTTTCATAAATACATATCTGAAATGTAGTATTATTAAGTGACAGAAATACGAGAAAAATGATTGATTAACTAATTATCAGTTAGTTAAACATGAAGATATGTTGAAATATATTAAGTATCTAAAATTATTCATGAAACAATAGGCTCAAAGCTTTGCTAGTTCACGTTATGGACTGTTGAAAAACAAGTAGCATTGGATAGCTGTCTCATTTCAGCACAACGTTATGTAAAAGTGGCATGAACGATCCCGCTGATTACTGAACCCAGTACCTTCAGGCTTTAGGATGAGTGCAATATCTTTAGATCACTATGTTCCCATCTAATGGTTCACATGTTTAACTAAAGACTCACTTTAACTACAGACGTTACATTTTCCAACTGATTTTGCTGTTGTTGTGTTGAACTTTGTCTCGATAGATAGTTCGACAGTGCTACTTGATTATTTAAGATTGGCTGTTGAGACTGTTGAGCATCGTTGTACAAAGCATTCATAGAAGATATATAATTATTTCCACTTAATAATAATCTTTGAGCAGTAGCATTGTTAATAACTTCAGTAAGTTGGTTAATCAATGAGGCATGCTCCGAATTAAACAGTAGAGAAGATTGCTAGGAAAATGATTTAAAATATAACAAAAAAATTGCTTTCGAACTAAAATAGGAATAATTGAAAATAGTGATAAACAACGAAGGAGAATTATGTTGAGATATTTAAATCCTTCAAAAATCGTTTAAAAACTTACTGTTTCATAATTTTTGTACAACATTAAATTGGTGCTTTCTTTTTTGTTCTTACCGTTGTTAAAAAATGTTAACTACTTATTGATTTATTTCTATTTCAATAAGCTATTTTTTCGCCTTAATTCTAAAAATGCTACAAATATAGTTAGTTATATTTGTACATCTAGTTAATCCTGTATTTAGGATCTATTAAGTTCTACAGTAACAAAGGAATCTATCGTCTTCATTCATTGTTCACCATAAGTGATGTGGAAAATGTTTATTCTGTTTATTAAAATAATAACAATAAATGACTGTATGATAATGTATCTTGGGTAGATATTTTATGAAAGTTCTTAGATATAAATAAAATAATAATGAAAAACATTTATCATGGCTGACTACTTACATCAGTCTTTTGAGGAGGATCAGATTCTGGCTGAACAAAATTCTCATCTATGATTACAAAACAAAAAATGAAAATATGATTTAACACGCACTTTGATAATAAAATACTACATAATATCATGGAGAGCATATTAGAGTCAAACATACTATAAACGTGTGTGCTAAAAGTAGAATAAATTAGTAATAATTTATACAGAGACTAATGATACCACCTGATCGACTGCGCTGAAGTGATAAACGAGGTAGAGATCAAGTCAATAAGTCAGTGGTGAAAAGTCAAGTTTATTACAGGTAAATATAAACAGTAATGTCTATGAACGGGAATAAAAATGGCAGTGCAGTACGATTGGTTAAATAACATGTTATTTGGTAAAAAGCATCAATACTATTTATTTCTTTTTAGCGAAATAATAAATAATAAAATTGATAAGTTATGAATCCGAAATAACTGCGACTAGATAAATTCAAGATTTTCACACCATTAAATAATGTCAAGCAAATGATATAAACTGGAGTATAGAAAAAACAAACAATGTCAACATAAAGTATTTACAAAACAACACAATACACTTGCCTAAAACATTTAAACATATAGGAAGACTGCACAAAAATAACTGAAATCCAAATCCAATGAAAAGTATGGTCAAAAGGAAAGTAGGAATTAAAACAGGAAAATAAACAAGTCATGTATAAAGATGAAATATATATACATCAACTTTTGACAAGATTTCAGGAAAACACAATTCTATCATTTTAAGAAGTACTCAAACCAAATTTCCTTTTTAAAGGGTTAAGGACTAGGTATGTATCATCCTAGACAGAAGTCAGCCAACATACAGGAAAATGTTTGAAAAACTCTTTTCAATCAAAGAGAATAATTTTTTGGCCTGACTTTACCATACCAATTTTATGAATTTATGTTTATTTCCAACCCACCTGGTATTTAATTCTACTAATAAAGCAGGGAAATATCTACTGAATTATCAGATCTTAAAGAAAACTTGTATAACGATGGCTAAGAATAGAATTAAATATTCTTAATTAAAGTTCATTTGTAGGTTTTTATGTTTTAATTTTAAACAGATTATAAATACATCATCTTGAATAGTATGTATATGCAAAAATAAAAGACATATTTCCACCTTAAAATGTATAATAGTATCACATATATCTTTGAATGTATAATAATGACAATTCGTACCACGGTAAACCGGCCTAACTAAACTCTAATACTAACCTCAGAATCGATCACAGTGGCGCAGACACATTCATTTTTTATCTTACTCAAGATCTTGAATTCCCTCAAACATACCTATTTCATTATCCTTTCAAACTATATTTTTTCAATTATCAGTCTCATTAAAATCGCTGCTACATTATTTGGACTTCTTTACCATTAATCTTGCTAATTTAAACTCGTGCTAGTCATGATGTGGTGACTTAGGTCAATCCACATTTGTGCCAGTCTCTAAGTTGGTTATAACTGTTAATAAACCTAACACTAATTCGCATTTAAAGTATTAATGTAAATACATCTTGTTTAAGAAATACAAGTTTATGTAATTGATTCTAAGGCATAATGAGGTCTAATGATACTACATGGCAGACTAAACTAAAAAAGATACAGCTAGGTTTTGAACTTTTCCGTGAAGTCTCTGAAATTTATGTTCTAGGTAAGAACAAAATATTCAACTTCAATAACAATAAAATACAAATTGACATAACTGATAAACAGTGATTATCAAAAGAACAGAACTCAATACTTAAGTCGTAATTGAACTTTACTTTGAAGAGCAGAGTTACTATGTTGAATACCTCCTAAACCGGACGTTACTGTTTGTAAACTTGTACCAATATCGTTCACGTTCAATGTCCCAACGTGAGATTGGAATTGATTCTTTATAGAAGTAGGATGTTGTGATTGTTGTATCACTGATTGATGATCACTTAAAACAGGAGGTGCAAAAACTGAACTGACTGGATGATTTTGATTGGCTCCTTCCTAAAAGAAGAAAAGATCAACATTAAGAAGCATTCATTTATTCATGGATTTTAAAAGGAATAACTTTTTATAAGATTAGCTAATGTTATTAATTTAAATATAAAGTCACGATTAATGTAAGATGGTCACATGAACAAGAACAAAATAAAAGGCGAAAATTAAACTGATCGATACAAATATTTCATAAGATTGACAAATAGAAGAACGAAGACTCTAACATAACTCACAATTTGCTAATGTATACATGTATATATTACATTTATTTCGACTACATGCAGGCATAAAAGTAATATGAAATTAATTCGAATAATTTCAAAATAGTGAACCCATAACCCTCCACACAATTAGGACTTTTCAAACTTTAACACAAACTCTATAGATGTTCAAACCCAGATTTCAATGAAGAAATATATATTAGAGTGAAAGTTTTTGTTTTACAGAGACTAGTAGTATGAGTCTAAAAAAAACTGAATTTCCTGGTAATAATATCATGAACATGAAAAACTACATTTGGTTATCGAGACTGTGTATTATGTAAATATGTAGATATAATTTAGTAACTTTGTAATAAAGATATTATTAAATACAAAACAGCACAACAATAAGACAAAATGAGATTGATATTGAAATGAAAAGCAGAATACTAAAAAGGCAAAAAGAACAGTTTAGATCCATAAAATGTTGATATAACTTTGTTAATAGATTAAGTATTGATATATCTGCTGCGGTTGTCCTCACCGCTTATTCTGGTAATGGTAGACTTAAATAACATCGTTAAATGTTGGTTAATAAGGATTTAATGATTATAACTCTAGATATATCAACTCTTAATAAAGTATTTTTGGTGCAGTAAGTAACAAAGATAGTTGGATAACCTACAGAAATGAAAGTAGTACAACAATCAGATAAACAGTTTCAATCATATCACTAAAAAAACACAACACATAGTATAAATTTATTTATGACCTACGGCTTGGGAATTCAAGAAAGACTCAGTTGTGGAAACAGGTGGATTGGCTATAGAATTTGATGTGATCCCTTGAAGTACTTGTTGTAGTATCATTGCAGAACGAGCTATAGTATCTAAATTATTTAAATGAGTAGAATCCATATCGGATTTTAACAGTGGTGATTGAGGTGGAACAAAACCGGACGATTGAGTTTGAGAAGTGCTTATAGATGGAATAGATTGGTGTGATTGAAATGGTAGCGGAGGCTTTTGATTCAATGGTTGTTGTGAAGATGAGCCACCAGCTAGTGGAGCAGTGGACACTTGTGAAGATATGTTTGGCGTAATAATTGTACTCTTTTGGTCAGAAATCGGGCGACGAGCACATAAGTTTACATCGGTTTGCAAAGAAACAGGTGCTGCATACAGTGTAGTTGAACTATTTGAACATGAAGATATAGGAACTTCCGAAGACTTCTGAATTACAACACTTTGTTGAGGAGGAATGGGTGTTGGAGTTGGAGTTGGTCCTGGTCCATTGACAGACAAAGAAGGAAGAACATTAGGAGTAGCTGGAGCAGCTGTAGCACTTGGTGGAACCGTAACAGTAAATTTACCAATAGATGTTAAACCAGGACCTGTGGAAGAAACTTGATGTGAACCATAAGGATTTGAGTAATAGCTATCAATTGGTTCTGATATGGTTTTGCTAGGAAGGACTATAGATACCTGTCCAGGAGTTCCAACACCACTTGCACTGACAGGATTGTGCATCGTATCCATATTCGATTGAGACACAACTACAGTAAGCATTGGAGTGGTAGAAGTAACTGAAGAAGTTAATGTAGGTGCAATTGTATTAACCGCACTGCATATAACATTTGAAGAACTAGCAGAAGAAACAGTAATAGTAGAATTTCTATAAGCTTGTATTTCTTTCTCTAATAACTTCTTAGCTCTGTTCCATTTGCTCTTATACTTCCCAATGATAGTGAAGCTACTTGTATCATCTGTATATTTTTTTTTATAAAAAAGAAGAAAAATACATTATTACTAAAGAATTTCCAAATAACACAAATTTCAAAGAACATAGCAAAAGTTCAACTTTTTACAGAAAATTGGAAATATAAGAAGTAAGCATAATATTTGTAAGAATTTATTCAATCGTATGAATATAAACTGACCGAAACGAGATGTTTATATTATTTCATTTTAATAAAACTAGAAAAATAAATATTCGTCAAATTAAAGATATCAGGTAAACAGTTAAATAACTCTTTTAATCACATTAGTTCACAATAATTTAAATAAATTAAAAATGATAGTAGTATATCAGCATGAAACTATCATCTAATTTACAAGGGCCAGTGTTTATATGTGACTTTCACAACGTGTAAATTTAGGCTTCTCGAAAAATAAAACGCTCTTCCTCGATACGCGTAACTGTTTCAAATGCAATGTCATATTAAATATATATACATTAATTTTAGTATCGCAGGCTTGGAGAATAACTAATACGCAATATTTAACTAAACAGAGTTAAAAGCCTAAATGCTTACCAATACATTTACAAATATGATGACTACTAGCAGAAAATTTGTACAACAGGAAACATATGCTATTCCACTAATCATTTAAAGTGATGCTTACTATAAATTAAAAGAAGATAAAACTATATCCTCGTCAGTCAGTCAGTTACAACGTAAGACCAGGCACATACGTGCATCGGTCCAAGCTGCCACACCTCATCAGCACAGAAAAATGAACACCGGATTCATAGAAGCAGTTAACTCAATGGTGTAATCAATAAACGGGAGATTTTATGTAAGGATATAGTATTGAAAGAAAGAATCGATTCGTAGAAAAAAAGATGTGAAATAATTTTAATCTCATAGTTTAAGGGAAGACAGAAAGTGCATACACCTATGCCATTGTGATCGATTCGGAGCCATGTCACCCAGAGTCTCTAACCAACTATATCCTCAACTTGTAATTTGGGTTTCGAATAGTTATTGCATCACTTCAGTCAAAATTAATGGAATGGAATAAGTGGTTGAATATTTGGGAAATGAACTCCAAGAATAACAAGTTACAATTCTACATACTCAACAGACATGCATATTATACTTTTTATCCAAAATGTAAATATAGAACACTTAATTCTCAAGAAATACTAAATTATTCATAACTACTTACATGCATCTGTATCACTTTCATCATCTTCATCAATAGTGGAAGCACCCTCTTGTTTTTTACGTACAGGTTGATCTTGAACAAGTGAATCTAGAATGGCTTTCCAACGTTTACCTAACAAAACTTTGACCAGAAATTGCATTTGTAATCTTATACTACTGAAAAGTTTGTCTAAATGACTAGAAACAACCTTTTTATCAGGTTGCTTTGGATTTTCAAACACACGCCACAGTTTATCTTCATATCCAAGTCTCTATAAATTGTAAAAAGTAGTTAAATTTATGACAATTTAATTTGATTTCAATAATCAGCTGTATCTTATAATAACACGAGGGGATTATTGTAAGAGCCGGTGAAACAAAACACAAGGTTTTAAAAGTTCTATAACTTTTCTACAAGTGTCAGGTGTATTATTACAGTCATATAAGTTATGCGTGCGAGTATCACATTTGTATTTGAAAAAGAAAAAGAAATATTATTTATTCGATAGTATCACTTTCACTTAAAGATTTTAACATGGATGATGATGAAAAAAGCCTATGGAAAGTCAGTTCATACTTTTAGAATTCTTAGCCAAAAAAAGAGCAACAACATAAAACTAGAGTTTTGCAGTCATGCATAAGCGATCAGAAATAGCATAGTACGAACACTCCAGAAATATTTCTTATGAAATACTTATATTCAAGGGACTTTCCTGAAAAGTACTTATCTAAATGATTAGGTATTTGGAAATTAAGCATAACGGATCAACAAAAGAAAAAAGGTTCAAAGCAAGAATCTTCATCTGGCTCTGAGTGAATGGTTACACAATATTAGAGCTCTGAGTATAAAGACGATATTAAAAAGAAAATCATACTTGTAGAAATTTCAGTAGTTGAAATTAAACAACTTCAACGTTTAGTTCAGTAGTCTAATCCGAGCTTCGTAAACAAAATCAAAGTCATCAAACGTTAATAGGGTCACAAAAGAATTATGTACTAAACAATTTTTGGAAGTACAATTTCTTTTTTGACGTGCTATCCTTGTTTATTAGTTACTACATCGAACTTAGTATATATATTCATATATATGCATGAACTTCACTAACTAGTTTCATCAAAGAAAATGAATACATTGATACCGAAATGGTTATCACAAAGCAGGCTTTCAGAACCAATAACACTACGGTAAGTGATTATACTACAATTGATAGATCAACTGACTGCAACTAAATAAACTGAGCTAAGTAAAACGTAGCTAAGAAAATGTTCTCCTTAAATAATATACGAAGACATTATCACATTATTTTCTAAGATGATAGCAATTAATACAAAGGTTAACAAGCAAAATGGTAAAATACATCCAATGAATATGGGAATTTTCTTAGTATTCCACAATTTTAATTATATAGCATATAAGAAAATGAACTTTCATAATAACCCGATAAACAATAACATTTTATTTTAGGGTATACTACAAAAGTTAACCATTCATTTGGTTTATGATGAATACCACTGGATTCTTAGTGATATAAACAGAAATACGAAGATAGGAAAGAATAATTCCTTATAAACTGAAAGATACCTTCGAACATATTCAATCTACCAATTGAATTCCACTATATAATTGACAACAATAATCATTCAGTAAATTACCATTATTTAATTTGCAAACGTGATAGATATGTACAAAGTCACAAGTTAATCGTTCATGATTAATCGGATCAACTTGACAGTATCCACTAACTAATCTTCGTGGAAAATATCAAATGTGCTTTCAACCACTTCGCAGTCATTTGTATGAGAACGTGAGCACAATGGTGTTAAAAAGATAAAAAAATAAATTATGAAACAAACGGAAAATTCACAGTAAAACATAGATCAATAGATAACAGAATTTAGAACAGACCCAGCGGAATAAAAAAACATGTAAACATGTAGCGATATAGACAGGTAGATAAATTTCATATCGGTTTAAAATATGTATTTATATAATATACATGTAGATAGAAAAATAATACACCTCATTTTAAACTATTGAAACTTAATGAAATGTTAGTTTTGTTAAATTGCACTCACGAAAAAAATGTGGTTTTATAAGAAATAAAAAAGCACATTTTATAATTCATAAACAATGAAGAATAACTAACCAAATTATGAATCAGATCTGGAATATCTTGATCTTCAGCTTTATAAATATCAAGATCGAATTCTAAAGATTCCCCATCATCTAATCCCAACTCTTGTAACATCTTTTTATCACGAAATCTTAATCGCAAGTTGAAATTTGGGTTACGTGTTTCTGGATTACCAAGAGAACGAACAAAACGATCCAGGACCTCTGCACGATCAGTAGCATTGTCATAATTCGGTTCCACTTCCACAGGTAATGTTTTTGGCTACAAAAATACGAAGTAAAATTACTATCATTTTTAATTGGAATTCGTCAAACGTATTGAATGCTGCAAAAAAAACTGCAACACATTTTATTTTTAGTGCGAATATTTAAGAAACAGATAAAGAGAGAAGTGAATAATAACCGACGAGACATTGCCAGAGTTTGATGTCTCTGACACTATACGAAATCGAACTAAATGTAATCACCCCACGAGACAATTCTCAATAGTAAACCAGTGTCTGTTAAGAAACCGTTATGAGATAATACCCTAGTATTGAGGAATATGGATAGCTGGATTTCGATACGCCAACTGAGAAGTAGATTAAAGAGGATAAAGAAATTTAGAAATGGAGATATTTGCAAACTGTATTTTGTCCCAACTATTACCCAATTTATTTGGTTAGAACTATCAAAATATTTTGAAGACTAACCGATACATTTACATTTACACAGAACAAGCTGTGAAACGCATATGGAGAAATTCGAACACTTCACTTCTATCTGAAGTTTGTGCTGATGATGTCGTTCAGAAGAACGATAAAAGCTCCACGACCAAACCAACCAGTTCAGAGAATAAAACTCCATCAAAATCATCCACCTGAGCTACAAATCTTCACTAGCTAACAGTAATTCTGAAAAAAATATACGACGCTTTGCAACTACAAAAAGCAATTCAAATTAATAAGCACATGTGCATATATACAGCAATAGGCTATGGAACGTTAATGATACTGACAATGTGTAATATCGCCAAAAATAATGCAACAAGAAAAGTGTTAAAGCTAATCATATAAATGTGACTTGCCAGAGAACATAAAGCTACGAGAAAATAGTGTTGAAAGGTTACATTACGATTAAAAAAGAGTTGACAAAATCTTAGTCACTTTCCTTGAATTTCAGTTGCCTTTCTAAAGACATTAAATGAATATATCAGTAAACTGATGTAATAAGTCTTTAGAAATTCTTTCATTTTACTCTAACAAAATATTCAACATCATACATGCAAAGTCTACCATCTCTTAAAACTGTTGCTCACAAAACTATGATTAGGTGTAGACCTCTGAAGTCCAGCTGACTTTTTTTGGTTACCATGCAAGGATTTTCGATCTTTATTTAAAGTAAAACTATTGATGATTACAACTAGATTCATGGAACTACCTATGATACCAGTAATCCGAGTGTTCCTCTTTGAATCATCTGATTCATTTGAAACAATCAATTGAGAGATGAATTGCGACACCACTCAGTTCTGTCAAACCTAAAAATGAGTGGCTATCAATTTTTACTGAATCTTTAGTTAAAATGTAAAGTAACTAATGGAAGAAAGATGGAAATAGTGGGACAAAAATACAAGACTTTGGATTAATCAAGAATGATTGATTATATCATTAAATCTATAGATTAGAAAACAATATAAAAGGCTTGATTTTTTTTAAATAGAGTAAAACAGGAACAATAATTGGCAGTATGAATCAAATAAAGAAAAACGGATACTTCTCAACTAACAACTGATTTATACGTAGTGTTACCTGATATAAATCATAAAAACATGTTGTGAGATGAGTAGAAAGCAAATAAATCACGAGCAAAGTTATACTTAATACACATACCCATGAATCGTTCCCTTCTTGATATTTCTAGCATTTAAAAAATAGTACACGAATGTATGAACTACCATAAAGCACATTTACAATCTATTATTTGAATAACTCCATTTTAAAGATAACTAATTTAAACTTATCAACTCACAAGATACTCGCTTGATGTAAAACTTCCCTAACTACATTAATCGTGATCGCTACTTTGAGACGCTTAGTTTATTTGTACAAATCCTAAATATGGTCACTGCAGTGGAAAATAACCCAAATACGAGTACGAAATGGTGAGCTCATTGGCTTTTGCTGCAGATGATGGTCATTAACAATTATTTAATTTGATCCAGAAGATAAGCCATTAGAAATGTGAATATTACCGAGGTGACAGAGGAAATTCAGAGTTTAAAAATCCAAAACGGTTACTAGAATAAATTTATTTTTGTAATTCTAATTGAACTTTCGGGAAACAACAGCGTTTCCGAATCTCATTTTCCTAAAATGATGAACAGATGTTTTGGATTAAAATTCGGCTGTGAATTACAATCGCGAAGATAGGGTCTAAAGAAATGTAATTAGGCATTCATGTCAAATTTATTAATCTTGAATGTGAGCTACAAACATTATCTGTGTATAACGATACTATCAATTTATCTGAAATTTAGGTGTCCATCTAGATTACAACCGAAAGACCTGAGTAATCACTCAGTGGTTCGAAGAATCCCCTATACAAGGAGCGATTCTATGGATCTCTTTTGTCGATGATTTCTGAAAAAAGAACTTTTGGATTCATCGAGGTATAACTGTTAGCTTCCTTTTGTTCACTATTAACTGCTTTCATCGTTTTCTCAATTTTCTTTGGTATTTCCATAACGGTTAGTGCAAAGTTTAGTGAAGCTCACATAGTTCTAACTTTGTATTTTAGACCTTATAAAACTAAACATACCATTTCTTATTACAGCAAATCTAGTCTATTTACTGCCGATAACTGGAATATTCCTATAGAAATATGTGCTATACACTAATTCTACTCAATTAACAATACATACATATACATTTTATAGAACACCAAGTGAATGTATTCACAATAGTTGGAGGTTAATTTAAGAACAATCATATTTTTAAATAACATACTTAAATCGAATTCCAAAATTACCATCAATAAAATAACCCCTTCGAAAATTTAAACAGTATACAACTATATATATATATATATATATATATATATATATATATATATATATATATATATATATATTTCCTGCTTACTTGAAATAATGGATGGAAATACAACTCATCAGCAGTAGGACGAAAACATGTCAAAGGTTGAATACATGCACTGATTACTTCACGAAGAGATGGATTTGATACCATTTGCATTATGTCCGGACCCTGTCCAGACATTGTTTTAGCTGCTACTTGTAAAACTGTTTCACACTCATCATAAGGTGTACGATTTGTCATCACTTCTAACATTAACATGCCAAAAGCATAAATGTCGACTTTTTCGTCATATTTTTCATCAAAAATCTCTGGCGCCATAAAACCCAATGTGCCTAAAGAATGTAAAATTAACAGGATCGGTAGAAATAGGTTGTACAAAATAAGATAAGAAAAACATGAGCACAGAACAGGTCAATAGCAATTTTCTCTGATCAATTATTAAGACAGGATATTTAAACTGAGTACATATGGGAATGGAATTCAATTTAAATATACGATTTATGTACTTCACATGCTATAAAATACCTATTTATTTTTCCAAAACCAATTATATCAGTAGATATTTAAGTTTCATTAGCTCATATGCATAAAATAAACACGCAAAATTTGTCAGATCAATAATTGATTTCTGTAAGAAAGAAAAATAATATATTCGGATGAAGGTAAAAGAAAAACCTAATCTACCTGTATCTCACCGAGTGTTATAATTCTGTCGTTAAAGTACAGATTTCATACCATTTGTCTATGTTTGCAAGACAGTTCATTTAGCTTAAGCTATACCAAAAACTGGTCTTCAGTCATAATCTGTCTTCAGTCAGTCAGTCAGTCAGTCAGTCAGTAACAACGTAGAACTTCGTACTTACGTACGTCAGTTCGAGTTGCCATACCACATGAGTACAGAGGTACAATTGTCAATTCAAATCAAATAGTGGTAGAGGTAATAAAAGTATAAGCAGTAACCGGGAAGATTAGAGTTTGAAGATGTTATTCAAGGAGTATAATCCAGTAAAATAAATTTGGAAAGAGAAAAAAAGAGACATGAAGAATTCAGAAAATTAGAATTTAGGAGAACACAAAAAGTGGATACACCTGCGCCATTGCAAACGATTTTGAGCCATGTCATACAATAATCTGTCATGCCAGATAATGGTTTAAGAGCATTCAGAAAACTATCGGCTGAAATAAAGTTCCGCAACAAAGGAGCGTCACGCAGCCTAAATTGCTGATAGACACAAAATATGGATAACTAGCAAGGGTTGGGTTTACCTACGCTTGGTTTAAAACTGATACAACTATAGCACACGTATTTACCACCTGAAGTAAAAAAGTTAAGTATGTGTGTGGTAAGTGTCATACACAATACCCAACCTAAACATGTATCGGTCCAATTTATTATGCTTCAAATCAAACCAGCGTGATCAGTCAGTCACCTACAACGTAGGACCAGGCACGTATATGCATCAGTCCAAGTTGTCATACATAAGTTGGCAAAAGCTAAACGAGCTTTCACAATCCGTAGAGGGAATTCGTTAGACAATAATCCATTAAGGCTGATCAGACTTCCAAGATGAGGTCGACGCGTTCTACTACTTCACTCCCCCATCCTTAGTTCAAGTGTCGACACAGACCAGTCCTGAAGCAACAACTTGCATTGAGAGGGGGGAGAAAAGCATCCCAAACATCCTTGTATTGTTGCTCAGTGCTACCGAAAGACTCTGAATTTTATCAGCGTCTTCACCAAACAGGACTGTGTCATCTGCTTATTCTAAGTCGATAAGCAAACCTCCTGGTAAGAGACCGATCCCCAGAAATTCGGTCGACGAGATTTATTTCCAGCAGTAGGTATACGATGAAATTGAACAAAAATGGAGAGCCTTGGCGGATACCACTTGAAGTTGCGAAATCAGATGACAGTTCGCCATTAGTTCTGGCTCGACTGGCAATTTTTGAGTAAAGAGCTCACACAAGATTTATGTACTCCTAAGGTACACCTTTCAATGACAGACAACGCCACAGTACCTCTCGGTCGACAGAGTCAAATGCTACTTTTAGGTCAATAAAAACTATCATTGTTGGACGCCGATAAGCGTGTCTGTGTTCTGGAACCTGACGAATGGTGAATATGTGGTCAATGCAGTCACAACAAGGTCTGAAGCCAGTTTGATTTTCTCGTGTTTGCGGTTGGTTCACAAGTCTTTGTTAAGCGTCCGATAATTATTGAGGCTAATATTTTAGATGCTATATTAATCAAACAAATCTCTCTATGGATCAACCTATCAAGATGAAAAACAAAAGTCAAAAACAATAATAATGTTGGAAAACCCAATATGAGAAATGCAGTTCAATAACAACTAATAAAATTCAATAGTAAGCATATCATATTCATAATTAAAGGGAGACGAAGGAAGAATTTTATCTATTTACAACCATGTCACCTAGTCTAAAAATATGGATTACAATAATATCGTTACTCCAAACACAGATGTTTGCATCTCTCAATTACACTTCATACTTAAGCAATATTTTGGTCTTCCCACTACCTAACTTCATTAAATCTCCTGATATTATCCAGCACATGGCATAAGGATGAAGAGTGGACGGGCATGCATAACATATTCCAGTATTTGTTGTTGCCGAACTCCAATCGGGCATCAGATAGTCATCGAGGCTTATACGCGAAACACCACATTGATCCTGGTAATTCTTGTGATAATCACAAGAGGATTCCTCCCTGAAATTAGTGACCGAAACCTATCAGACGAAATTACGCATGCTTTCATCAATCTACATCAAGTAGTATTACATCATAATGGCTCTTTGAGAAAGCTAGGATGAGTTTTAAAGCATTTGTTGACTTAGCATAATCTGAGGAACTATCTTAACCTTTCCTTTAAGTTGCTAACAGAGATCATTGTTATTTAGTGGCATATCGCATATCATCCAAGACAACTTCTGGATGAATATCCCTATCATGAATACAAAAGTTTTTTTCCTCTCATACAGCCGAAGCATCCTCATCGAACAGATCGTGAAGAGGTCTTCCTAGTGTAATATTTCTGCGTTTGGTGGGGCACGAACAGATAAGTGTTTTGAGCACGACATAACTGGAATGCAGACTTGTATTTTGGAGCATGCGGTAATTTACGGCCGACCTTCCCATGTGGGATTATGTTTTGGTTTATTAGTGTCGAGTATGAACTTTTGAAGCCCATACACCAGGACGGGATTTGTAAATCGAGGAAGTATGTTATTGTTAGGGTCTGGATTTTTATTCTGCAATTCCATGTATAAGCATTATAACCCAATATGCCGACTAACCGTAGAAAAAATCGATGGTGCTACAAAGCTATACAATCGCAATACAATTCTGTTGGTGGACATTAAATCTTCTTTCAGTTCTCGTCGTTTCTCAAACAACTTCCCTGATGTGGTACAGCATCAGTATGATCTAATATGACTTAGTTGGGCACCCAGTGTTATACATTACAAGTTTAAGGAATGATGCACTGTTTTAAGACAGTCAAAATAAGTAAACAAGATATTGATAGACTAATAAAATGCAACAATATAATATGGTCGAGTGAAAGCCATCCTACAAGGCCGAATGACCGATGCAAACAGTTGAATGAACCAAAATCAATGATAAGATCGGTAATCAGAAGAAAAGACTGGTTTTTATAACAGGATAACAAGCTTACACACAAGATATTGAATAAATACATAAACACTAAGAATATCAGGCGAAATATAGGCGACAGCCGTCCCCTCCATAAATCTATACACAAAGCTACTTGTGTTCCACCGGACCATGGTACGGAAAATCAGATCGACCACATATGCATCAATAAGAAATTCAGAAGATTCATAATTGAAAAGAGAGGAACCCATATAGCTTCAAAACACTTGGTGGTAAACAAGCTACAGCATAAGTTAAGGAAGCATAAGATAGATAGAAAAGCAGCAGTAAAAGAGTTTAATACAACCTACTTTCGAGATGCTAACAAGTTCGGCGTGCTCAAGATAGCTACCAACAACAGATCCCAAGTCTTCCATGATTTATTACAAGACGAAGAAAACAATACAAAGAGCAACTAGAAAGGGATTACAGAAACGCTTATTTTATAATCCCACGAAGTGCTGTACCCTACGAAGCGCCAGTATAAAGAATGGACCTCTGTAAACAGCTTGGACAAGAGTCAAGTAAGAAAGGAAATCAACAACCATCGGGCGAAAGCAAACATAAGGCGCAGATCAAATATACAGAAGCAAATAAACGAGTGAAGAAGGGTACTCGAAAAAAATTATCAAGACCATCAGATAAATCAGAAATGACAAATTAGTAGAACCAAACAGCAAATCAGTTGAAGCAATAAAGTCAGATATAGATACAACTGTGAAAACGTTCTATTTTCTCTTCAAAAAAAGATCTGAGACGAAGAAAAAACCCCAACAGAGTAGAAACAGGTAAACCCAATTACGGTACCGAAGAAAGATCTTCAGTGTGAGAACTACAGAGGGATCACACTGCTGTCAGTACTGATAAAATCCTCAACCGTGTCGTTAAACTGAATGAAAGATTCAGTAGATGCCCAACTTAGCTGACTTTCGTAAGAATCTATCATGTACCGAACAAGGCGTGACACTGCGAATTACTATTGAACAGTCAATTGAATAGAGCTCATCGCTATATAACAAATTACTAACTACAAGCACTCGATAGCGTGAAGAGAAAAGCCTTATAGAATCTTCCATATTGTGAAGCGTATAAAAAGATCATCACCATTACACCGAATTCCAACGAGAGAAAACACTGCAGTCATACACAGCGAGGAGCTTGAACATGTATTTCAAGTGAGGACTAGTGTTAGGTAAGGATACCTACTCTTGCCCTTCCTACTGGTTGTTGACTGGATTATGAAAACCGCATCTCAAGACAAGTACAAAACACAGTAGATATCTTGGACACAGATGATTTGGACTTGGCAGATAGCTTAGCACTTCTAGCCCATACACACCAGCAAGTACAGACGAAGACAGCTAATATAGCACAGACTTTCATAGCATTAGGCATCCACATTCACAAGAGAAAGAACAAGACACTGAAATACAACACAGTGAGTAGCAACCAAAGCTCTGGAAGGGATGTGAGCCTTTACATACCTGGTAGGAAGGTCTGGAATTCAAAAGGACTGTCAGCTAATACCAAAATCAAAATTTTAAACACAAACGTTAAAAGTTTTACTGTACAGAGCTAAAACTTCAAATACTATCACCACAATCACCAAACAGCTTTCTACGCGAGATACTTCGGACCCAATAGCCGGAGACCGCTAGCAATAATCTGCTATGGCGGAGAACAACCCAGCTGGCGGTTGAAAACGAGGCTAGGAAAAGACGCCTGGGGTGGGTAGGAATTACCTTGTATAAACCATTCAACTATATCACAAAGTAAGCTCTAACTTAGAGTACTCAAAGCAAAAGGCAAAAAGGCAACCATTACGAATATGAACACTTGGCAAAACTGGGAAGAGAAGTTCACAACAGAGTTCCCTCGTCGGCAGCCTGTATCTCAAGAGGGACAAAACCATCAAGCCTAACTCGTACCCGATATATCAAACCCCCATCATCATGGCAATGTAAGGTATAGGGTCGGATACAAAGTTGAAATAAATAACTGAATTTGTGTAAATAAAGACTGGTTAAGATTGTTTATTTAGTGGTTGCAGCACTTGAATCATTACATATTTTATCAGCAAAAGAAAATTTGTGGAAATTTTTTATTTGTAGACAATTTACGTCAGTGATTTACCTCAAACAGACAATCAGTAGAAAGATCAACATACTGGACATAAATATTTCTCGGCTTTAAATATTATTAAAGTAATATATTTGGAATTGATACCACTAATGAAATATAAAATGTAGTAGAATAAAGAAAAATACGTTAGGTTTCCGGTACTGGAAAACAGGGAATCACAAGGAGGCTATAGTAACTCTTAAAAACCCATTACTCACCCAGCATAGTTTTCCTTCCACTGTTACTCACATGAGTTGCCAAACCAAAATCTCCAACCTTAACATTTAAATATTCTTCATCTGATGCACCGTACAAAAAGCAGTTGTCAGCTTTTAAATCTCTGTGGAGAATAGGAGGTTGGATTTTATGGTGCATATAACGCAAGGCATCGAGAATTTGATGCCACCAGCGTGTAATAAGAGGAAATTTAAGGATGCACTGGCCATCTAGGAAATTCTTTCTGATTACGCTAATAATATATTAAAAATAAATCAGTGAAATCAATATGAATACCTTTTTAAAGTCCCTTCGCCCATCAGTTCTTGGATAATTACGACTCCTTTTTCTTCAATTTGATTGTTCGGATCTTCCATATCAATCCACTCTCTGAAAACATCAAAACATCTGACAATGTGTGGATGATTCATCTTCAACATAATCTCCGTCTCCCTGAACATTGCTTGACGTTTTTCTTTGGTATCAACATGCTCACGCTAAGAGATAAAGTAAAAGCTAAGCCTTACTTTAAATTCGCACCATGCAACATTTCTAGCTTCAACGCTATCATATCCACGGTAAACGAATTTATACCCACCCTCACCAATCTGTCAAGAAATTTGGAAATTTCAAGTTATCAGTACCTTGAGATTGTGTTTTATCCAGCGACTACATTTCGATTTCGCTGATACTTTTTGTTTGGCTTCTTGTTCCGCTTGATATTTTTTCAGCATTTCCTCCTCTTTTTTCTTTTCACGTTCCTTTTTCCGTTCTTCCTTTGTTTTCTTGCGGTCAGCGGAAGTTGCGGAAGCTTGTTGGTCATTTGACTGACCGCAATTAACAGCACCAACTGATTCCCCGATGACAGGGACCCCAGCAATACTTGGTTGTGGTAATAAATCTTCATCATCCGAGTCAGCCTCCACATTTTGCTTCGGGTCAACAATTTTAACCTTTTTTGTAGTTGACCGAGAGCCACTATCCCTTCGAAAAGCTGACCGGTTCAACAAATCAGTATCTTCTGTCTTATGAACGGACGTATCCGTGGCATTACCATCAGCACCAGAGGAAGATTCAGTAACCTGTTCATTCTTTGAAACTTGCTGGTGTATTGATGCGTTCATTTATCACTACAACAAAACAATTACGCTATACAGACTAAAACAAGTCATTCTAAATGCATCAGAGATTATATTTGAGTCTTCCACATGAATATAAAAATATCAAGTCGACAAAGATATCCGTAGGCTCGAACAAGAACAATAGAGAAGCTAAAAGAGCAGATAAACGAACACATCACAAACAGTAAAATAAATTCAAACATACTGTTGCAACAGAATGTACTACTTAGAGTTCATAATTAGAGACGAAATGATCGGATAACAATCATCAGCACGAAAGATTGCAAAACGCCTAGACCTTACTCGAAATTGTTTGATTCGAACTTGTCTTAAAATATTGCCACAGTTCAGTAGCTGTTTAAATGCCCTTAAACACTGGATTTTCCTATCCATAAACTTATTTATATATTCATAAGCTCACTAACCCTCCTCCAAATAAAACAAGTACGCACGATTTTTTCACCACGACAGTCAGTCACAAGGTAGAACCTATACGCATGTACATCGGTTCAAGCTGCCATACTCCATTAGCACAGAGATGAAGTTATCAGGCTTTCACCATAATAAGGAAACTAACTCCAGATTAATTATCCTTCTTCACTGGTTATTACCTTGATTTAAGTATTAACCAGACAAACTAGTGAGGTCTTTTTAAAACTAGCCTATCAGATAATACATACTCCAGGATATACACATTCTACAGGAGTCAACTGAAGACCTAAAACGGAAAGTGACAAACTATATGTGAAATTTTAGTGTGAAGGTCAGATGGTAATATCTTACCACTGAATAATAACCTCGTCAGCAGGTGAATTTCGCTAACAAAGTATTTGTCGTCACAAAAATGTTAAAGTCAATTCCCAATAAATCAAATAGGATTTGAACTTGGTAATTGTAGTCAGTAGTCACCACTTCAAGTAGCATAAACCATTATAGTTGAAATCTGTACTCATGAATATCAATAAACTTCCATAGCACAGATGAAACAGAGGCTATTACTAGTTTTTTGAGGTAAGTTTATGAAAGAAACATTCAAATGCATTTCGCTGACTTACTTTCCGTGTAAAAAGACCCCACAGCAGAGCAGGCATACGTGCAGAAAGGTTGCAAACAACGGGATATCAAGTGAAAAGCGAGAGGTGTAACGGAATAAATATGAGCATGTTAATCCCGCCCCAATCTCATAATGGTATATAGCTTACTGATGCGCAGTTTTGTCATTTTATGACTACTTAAACATCTCATCTCAAGTAGGTTGATCTTACAAAATTCAAGCTGCCTTTCGGGATCGCGACGAGACAAAGTCATTAGGTTGACGATTAGTGGTCATGGGGTTAGCTGCACATATGTACGTAAGTAGGTCAAATGTCCTGGTTTTGTAAAAGCTATACCGAAGTCCAACTATAGTCACATTTCTCGAGCAGCTACCTGTTCAAATAATGGGTTAAAGGAAGACTGGGTGTAGACATATATGATATGGTACCAGTCCATGAGGGGGGTAGGGTCTTTATATGCATAGCTAATAACGTAAACATTCGTTCCTTTGTGAATCTCAAGATAGTCGATCTTGTGAAGTCATTAGCTGTGGCCTCACTTTGAATGTTGTATACTTATACTAAGTGTCATCAATCGTAGCCCAATCTGTTCAGCTAATGACTAGTTTGAAACACGTCCAGCTATAAAGTAAAAGTAACAGACGCGCGATAGTAGATTTTAATGCACCTGATATTAGTTGGACCGAGGTGGCCACCGTAGGATCTGTAAACGCTTTCGATGGTGGGCTCCTGATAACAGTAATGGAGCATTTTTAGTACAGCGTGTACCCGAACCCACACGTGTTGGTCCAAACCAAGGATCTTCTTACTTAAACTTAGTAATCACTCATGCAACCGAGGATACTGCCTATCTAAATATTCTCCCGCCGATAGCAAATAGCAATCACACTTTTTTGTCATTCTTCTTTAAAGCTTAACATAATATACGATCAGGTCAAACCTCGCCCAAATAAGTGGAGAGCAAACATATCAGCAATTTAGAAGTGCGCTGCAACAACGGACTGGTCAGTAAATACTAGCTTATAAATTGAAGAGGCATGGTCTATATTTAAAGGTACACTTACACTATGTTTGAAGAGATTACGAGTTCACATAATCTGGGAACGAAATGAAAACTCAGTGACACAATGATGAGATAAGCTAACTATTCTGATGTGTCCCAGCCCCGTTAACTAAAGAGAGAAGTTCAGGTTCAGGAGAAAAATGTATTCCACAAGCAGCCAGAAGCACGAACAAAAAAGCACAACTCAAGCGTATATATATACAATATATAAATGTCGTCGGGAAACGTTACGAAATAACATATTAAAAGAGACAACGAACCAATTACGTTTAAGGTCCTTCCAAGTAGGAAATACGATATGAATGTGATAATGGGCGCTTTTGGCGCGAAATTCAAATTTCCAAAATAAAATTACAAAAGTGAGACATTTGCCACGTGAGTTCTGGGGGATCTAGAATTCCTAAAAGCCTAGTTTAGTTACGCCCTGTTTGTATCATGCTCAGTAACATGTAGACCCAAAGTGTCTATCATGGATAACCAAACAGGTCAAGAACTTTCTTAGACGTAGGAAAGGCATTGGAGTATGCATATCTCTACAGACTCTGAACAGTACATATTCATTCACTGTAAAACTAGAAACGTTTGAAAAGCACTAAGAAAGGCTAAACATTCATATGGAAAACAATTGGCTAAAAATTGTGAAAAAAATAGTCCGAATAGGTTATTCTCGTATATAAAAGGGTGAACCTAGAGAAGTGATGGGACCCCACAACATTCGCCAGAAGAAAACCCATTGGTAATGGCAAAAAGTGATGTTGCGAAAGCTAAAGCATCATCAGAATATTTTAGTAGTGTTTTTTTGCCGGTGATTGTGAAAGACCGATAATTAATCCTGATAATGCCAACCCGTCGATGGATCTCGTAGCTATTGAGAAAGCTGTCTTACGATTTCATCTCAAACCAGATAAGCCCAGTGTTCCTGATGATGAAGGCCCTGCCAGATGTAATGCCTGAACCTCTGGCCATACTGTCTGATATGTCGTTGAGGCAGTTCAGGCTGCCAAGAGACTTAGAACACATAATAATCAGTTAGGGTTATAAAGCGAGGAGCAGGGACTTGGTTAGTGACTATCGATCGGTTAGTCTAACTAGTGTAGTTGTCAAACTAATTGAAAAAATTACTCTGATGGCTGTTTTAAACTATGTGATAGGGCATAATCTTTTATTCAAGGAACAATATGGTTTTAACAAAAACCTATCACACTTGACAAATTTGCTCATTGCAAGAAAAGATTGGGCTACAGCGAAAGATAAAAATATTCTTGTAGATGTAATTTTCACAGATCTAAGTAAAGCCTTTGACAAAGTCTCTCATCTGGGCCTTAAATTAAAACTGGAAAGTTTAGGGGCCATTATGAAAACACAGATTGGATAAATGACTTTTCCAATGATAGAGGACAATAGGCAACTGAAAATCGGGCTTTATCAACGTGAAAATCTGCAAAAAGCGGAGTTCCTCAAGGTGCAATCCTCGGTCCTCCTTTTAAATTTATGTAAATAACTTACTAAATGTAGCAGTCACCTATTATACCCTTTGCAGATGACATGAAGATTTGGAAACCCATACACACTGTCAGAGAGAACAATATTGCCGGATAACCCAAATTAACTGGTGCATGGACGGGTAGATGGTCATTAAAAGTTAAGGCGAGACTCTAATTTATGGACGACCTTTGAATGAATCTCAAGCGACCTTGAGAAATATTAGCCAATCAGCAAACAGTCAGTATAGAGTAAAAATATGTTATACAAAACCAAGGAAATAAAGTGGAAACACTTCTTATACATGGTTCAAAACTTGTCAAGGTTAGAAAGAGTTTCAGAGGTTCTAAAATCATAATTTATGCAGTAGAGGAAATCATTCATACGGCTACAGAATAGTCGGCCTCTGGAGCCATGATAAAGTCTTAAAGACTCTTTCAGCCTCGACTACATAGCTTCAATATTGTTTATGTGCACTTCAGTTGTTCAGTGCATAAAATGCTACTTTTGGATAACGACACGATGCACATAACCAAGTCTATGTAGGAGTCCACGCTCTCCAAACATCCGTATATATTGTAGTACCTGGCTGTAGCCAGTGTTACTGGTGCGCAACAATTGTCGTAATTTGCCTTAGGAATTATATATGGAGTTTTCATCACGAACTGACACCAGCTATAATGCCAGAAATCTATTTAGCCAAATGGATGAAAGGCTTTCGCTTTAAAATCCAAGACCTATTATCTTATACCTGATTGATTCGTCCACAAATTATAGTCCCGCCGTTTTATTTGTTATAACCGCCCAATTATCACGTTTTGTACAAAATTCCCTGTGAACCGATAGTACGTTAGCATTAAGCACTGAAGTTGACGCCGTAACCTTGAAATCTCTAAAACGCCTCTGGTTGGCTCGTCCATAAATTAGTCTTGCCGTTGTTACCTAAAGTAATGGACTAAAAAATTCCGGGAGTCGACCTCAGAACGACAAGTAACTGCAAGGCTGCTACTGTCAAAGGTTTAAGGGGCTTACGGTTTATTCTCAAGTCATTTCAGTACTTGGACGAGGAAATGTATGGGGTATTATACCCGACTTTTGTGGAGCCGCATACGGAAAATGGGATCAAAGCAGTAGACCCTTGATTCAAATATAGAGCGGATGTGCCGGGACGAGTTCAACAGCGAGGGACCAAAATCGTAAAAGGGCTCTCTGGCTTATCTTATGGAGACAGACTGTGACGCCACAATCTATTCCCGTCATCTTACCACAGGTTTCGGGGTCAGTCAGTCAGTAAAAACGTAGGACTTCGTACGTACGTACGTACATCAGTTCGAGTTGCCACACCACATTAGCACAGAGATGCCGTGGTCGATTCAAATCCCGTAGGTTTCGGGGTGACCTAATATTGACTTCCCGTATGACAGTGGTACTAATGTCCGCTTTTCCCCTTTATGTAGGTCTGTTCATTTGGGAGGACATTCTAGGAAAGTTCAAAAACCAAGATCACAGTTTACGCCTGGAGTTGTTTCTCGCACAAAGTAGTGAACGAGTTGAGTTCTCTACCAGGCCAAGCAATATTAGCCCCTTCTGTTGATACATTCAAGGCGACCTCCATAGCTTTATGAATTGCAAGGATTACTACAGGTCCATAGACCTATCTTTAATAATGAGGACAGAAGAATGGACGATAATAGCCAACAGACATCTAGCAAGTATATCCATCCAAAAAGTTGTTAAGGTTTTAAATAAATCTTATTTTCGCTATAACGCTTAATAATTATGTTCCTGAAACAAGAAATTCCACACATATCTAACAAATGGTGAATTGAAAACTGAGAAACTTGGAAGACATTTTCTACTTGAATGTACAAACATTGACAGCTCAAACAAGCACAGAACTAAAATAAAACTTACAGGGGTTGAAAGTATGGGATCCAGGACAAGTAATGCCTTTGGTCTGACCGCTAGACGCCAAAGTGAGAACTAAAGGTCAACTCAATAACATTTTATATCTTGCGCTTATATTTAGTCACTAAGAAAAACAAACACAATCTCAGTTGCACAAATATCCTGAACCTATTCGGTTTGTTTGCAAAAAAACTTGAAACTTCGAACAGTTTCACTGATCTTTTTTCCTTTGTTTACTTGTCCTGTTTCTATACCTTGTAGAATAGGCAACTCGAACCAAAGGGTCACTCATTACTGAATACCTAATGCGGTGATACATAAATCCGAAAAATAAAGAATTCCGTGATTATTCGACATTGCTGATAACCGCATTAGTTTTAGTGGGTACATCTAGATAAATGCACTCGGTCACACCTCCGCATCAGTTCACGAGTGGGTACCCCGTCCTACATATCTCATAAAACCGTTATCCAACATAGGTCACAGCACTCTGGTCTGCATTCAGACGCGCGGCCGTTGCACCACGGGCTTTCCACTATAGACTGAAGTGATCTGGTACAAAAACAATAAACTATGAGTATGTCCCTGTTAAAACTTTATATATTACTTTTTGTTTAAACTTTCATACTGAGATACCTTTTTGTATGATTGCGGATACTTTTTCTTTCTCAATTCCATATTTAATCTTTGATATGACTAAACAGACACTAAAGTTACATTAGATTAGGACTATTGCGTACTCTGTCTTTCAATTCAAGCCATTCTGGTCCAAATACATAGGAAAAATGGCTCCGCTATGCAAGAACTGACTTCCATTGGCACCACGTGACTGAGCCATGGGCACTATTCCACGCAGTAGTGAAAGACCTAACACACAATTTTAACGGGCACGTCATATCTAGTATAATAAATAGTGGTGTTACGAAACGTCTCAAAATTTCAAAAAGGTTGCCTCAAAACGTGGAGACCTGACCATAATATATATGCTATATATATATATTGCTATTTCAGTCAGCCTAATAATGCAGATTACTTGGAAATCAACTTATATGGACAGCTTACCGGCATAAACGTTATTTGGATTAGTAATTTAAACCAAATATATTACCTGTTTTAACATTTCTAAAACATTAATAGTGATGGAGTTTTATTTTCTGAGCTGGATGGTTCGGTCATGGAGCTCTCATCGTTCTTCTGAACGACATCATCAGCACAAACTTCAGATAGAAGTGAAGTGTTCGAATTTCTCCATATGCGTTTCACAGCTTGTTCTGTACGCCTCGATGTTGATTGGTTCTTACTGACTTTAAATTTGTCATTGTTTACTTCTTTGTTTTGGTTGTGTCTCCCATTGTTTTGATTTCTGTTCTTATGTTTGTGCATGGTTTTTCTGATTGGTTGACAAATTTGATTGATTTCAATATGCTTGTTGATTGCTAATTGACCTGAGTGCCAGGCATCTAAAAATTCTCTGGTGTTTTTGCAGTTTCCTCTGTCTAAGGTTTCCACATTTTTCCAATCGAATGAGTGTCCTCAGTTGTCCACGTGTATTGATATAAGTGAGGAAATATCATGGAGTTTGACTGTTAATTGATGATCATATAGGCGAAGGTGAAGGGGGCGTCCGCTCTGTCCGATGTAGTGTTTTTCGCAGTTGGCACAATTTATTTTGTAGATGATGTTTGTTTTGTTTTACTTTGTTATTTCATCCTTTGCAGTCTCGTTGAATTTTCTGATGTATTTTATGTATGGTAGGGCGATCCTTTTGTTGGTTTCTGTGTCTGACTTGAGTTCTGATGATACGTGCGGCTGGTATTTTTTGATGAAGTTGACTGGGTAGCCGTTGTTTTGAACTACGTCCTTTAGGTGTTTCTCCTCATTTTATCGTGCTGCCATTGTACTGTGGTGTGTCCCCGCCCTCTTGAACAAAGTGTGAATGCAGTTGGTTTTGTGAGCTCTTTGGTTGTTGCTGTTGTAGATGAGAATTTGATCAGTTTTTTTGTGTCAGTTCTAGTGAATAATATATCCAAGAACGATAGTTTGTTGTTTGACTGCTGTTCCATCCAAGACGTTGTTGATCAGCTTGTTAGTGTTTTCCAGATCATCCTTTTTGACGATGACGAATGTGTCGTCTACATAGCGAATCCGAACTTTCGGCTTGATCACGAGTAATATAGAAACCTTTAGTCTCTGAGTCACTGCTTCAGCGATCAGTCCTGATATTGGCGATCCCATTGGTGTCCATTTTGTTTGTTCGTAGATTTTGTTGTTGAATTGCATATATGTTGTTAGGCATAAATCGATGAGTTCTAGTAGACTTTGAATTTGAAGCTTCGTGTACTTTGTGAGACTTGTGATCTTAGTGAGAAGTAGAGGTATAGTTTCCTTCGTCAAACTTGGTTCTATTGAGATGAATAACACCATTACATTGAAGGATGTCATCAGCTCATCGTTGTTTATTTGAATGTTCTTAAGTTGATCCAGGAGTTGTGTGGTGGATTTGTTGGAGTGGTTGGATGAATCCACTTAATGTTTCAGTATTCGTGAAATTTCTTTTGACAAATTGCATGTTGGCGTTCAGGAAAGTGCTGCAATTGAACCTAGTGGGATGTTCGGTCTGCTGTAGAATCGAGGGAGTACTGGTCCATTGGAGTTCATTCTCCGTTGGTCTTGTTTTGTTATTTCTCCTGCTGTGACTAGCTTGTTTAAAGTATCTAAGATTCGGTTGTCAAACTTTTTGACGGGATTCATGTCCATCAGTTTATATGTGCTCTTATACTCAAGTAGTTCCTCGGCTTTTTTGACGTATTCTTATTGATCCGTAATCACTGTGATGTTTCCTTTGTCCGATGGAACTATGACAATATCCTTTTCTAGTTCCGAGCTCCTTCAAAGCTTTTTGTTCTTGTGGGGTCAATTGGTTGTTTTCGTCATCCCTTGAGTTAGCGGTACTGTAGCGGTAAATAAACAGCTCTGTAAGTTTTTGACATTGGATGCTGACCATATCTTTTAGTGGACTCATCTAGCTGAGGGTGCTCGGCCGTTCATCCGCACCAGATCACGTGTGGTAACGCTGTGCTCAACATCTATCGCAATCGCTATCCAGATTAGATCAGAGAATTCCGACATATTGGTAGTCGCCAAATACACTCTTCCGATCTCCTCGACTCTGTCTTTTGATTTCTCTCGGCGGGTATAATTTATATTAGGTGTTGCTGGTAAAAGCGTTTTCAAACACTGAATACCTGTATCATCTTCAGTACTATATTTTGTCTAAGTCCAGGTAGTCAGAACTGTCGACGCTCATTTCGATCATGTTCATCTGGGTATGGTAGAACCCTTACCAGATTCTAAAGAATACTCCCATCTTTTAACTTATGTAGACGGTTTCACACGATAGTCAGAAGCAGTACCCATAAAGGACATCACTGCTGAGACAGTGGTCCCTGCCGAACGATGGGTACCAAACTCCGGCTGCCCTTCAACTACCACTAAAGACCTTGAGCGCCAGTTCGAATCTGAAAATTTCAATTGTCTTACCACACTATTATAAATCACATGTTCCAAACCCTAACCCTACCAAAATTGTCTAATGAAGTTCTACAAGATGATGCGTCTGCATTTACATTATTTGCCCCAGGAATCTGTTATATATCTGACGTTAACTGCAAAATGTAGCCCAGTTTTCGACTCTTTCCAATACGGTGCTTGTTCAAATATGAGTTTAAGGAGTAATCAGGAGGTTTATGGTTGGTTTAAACGGTGGAGTCTGTGCCTTTCATAGTATTTTAATTGCTGTTCAGCATAGCACATAACTAAGTCTTCTCTACGGAATGTTCTTTACCTCGATTCGGTGTCTAGTAAAGGTCTCAAAAACAATACCGAAGGTTGTCCAGTGTCTTTAGACTATTGTTGTAAGTCTCCTCTGATTGCGTGATCGGATGCGTTTACTGCGATACTTTGACGAGCCTAGGTGTCCTGGTTTGCCAGCAACGTTGCCTTGGAGATAAGCAGTATTACCTAGACCGAATATCATGCGTGAAACCACGTAGAGGTCGAAAAAACTGGTGACAGAGGTTTTGGGAATATATATGTTTTAACTCGGTTTTCGAAAAAAACAACTGTACCTTTCAAGTTAACCGTCAAATCGTGAATGTGAGGTAACGTATAACAAACGGGAATGGTTTCACGTTTATTTGCCAACACTCACCAGTTAGACGCTAATAATTGCTTTCCTTACTATGGAACTCTTTCAAGAAAGGTGCCCATGAACTACTTGATCACCGAATGATCCATAAGTCCATTATTTAGTCAAATTCGTTTTTAGTCAACCATAGCTTTCCGACAGCTATTCGGAGCGCTTTTGAGAATACAGATGTCCCAGGAATCATGATGCAAAGTGTAACATTGCTGGTTACATATGGCGATTTCGGTTGTATTTGGTATGTCTCGGAGTAATTTTCAAGTATTTGTTGGTAGTATGGATCGATGGTGTGTCTTACTGTGACCGGGGATAATCTTCAACCGAAAAAACCGGATAAGCAAACAGGTAAATTAGTATCTCCGTCTACTAACCTCCGTTTACGCGTGTCGATGAATAAATTATGATGTTGTAGCAGGTTTATACTATTGATTGACATGGAAATATACACAGCAACCCACATTATGATAAACGAACCGCTAACCATATGTAGCGATCGGTTTTCCGTTTGCGGTCTGTAAGTTCAAAGCCGGTCCATTTAATCAGTCGTTGCAATTCGCCAGAAGAACGCTAACTTCTGTTTTAATGTCGACAAGGTAGCGAACTTTTGTATTCACATCTATGATGTGTAACAGACGGTTATGTTCGCCGGCCATGGTCTCCATTAACGCTTGACGACTGGGAAGTTTCCAAAACAATTTTCGTGTCGATCGGTTTAGATTTTGAAAAAATGTAGGATTTTTTGCAATCTAGAGAAGATTTTCCGTAATGATTATGATAGCAGCAGCAATCGGAGTTATCTGTCTTTTGTTATCTAGAGGCAGATCGTTTTCGTGAAGAACACCTTAGAGGGATTTGGAAGCGTCTACGTTCATGTCGAACGTACCAGAGTATGACAGGTTTCTGTAACTTCATTTCGTGTCG